CCTTGGTTGTCAGACTTCCATGTAGTTCAATTTTCTGGCTGTTCTGGCTGTTTTTTGGTTTTAAATTTGTTGTTGTCCTTCTTTTGGTTGTGCAAGGAGGCAAAGATTATCTACCTAAGCCTCCATCTTGGCCAGAAGTCCTGTTTATTTAATTTAACCACTTTGTTAGACTAGCATTATTTGTAAAGGTGAACATTCACATAGCAATGACTCCTCTGTTCCACTGAGGATATACATGATTTTATATTCACCCACCCACTCAAGAAAAGATTGGAAACAACTTAAGCATCTGTTGAAGAAAAACGAATTGTGGTACAGTCACACAATTGAATATTATACAGCAGTAAGAAAGAGAGAACTACAGATACATGTAACAATATGGATAAGTTTTAGGAATGTAATAGTGAAAAATAAGTTGTAAAATATTAGAATTTTTAAAAGACTCAGAACAAGAAAAACTAAATATTTTGTTTAAGAGTTGTAAATATATAATATTTTTATAAAGCAAGGAATATCAAGCAAAATTAAGTTTAGTGGTTATCCTTGGGTATGGGAGAAGGCAGGAAAATGAGTTAGGAGAACAGCACAAATGTTGATGTGATGGTACTGGGAGTATTTTATAGGTTTTTTTTTCACATATCACATATATACAGGCGAGTGCAAAAGTAGGTTTACAATTATAATACAAATAAATGACACAATAATTAATAAATAATAATACAAGAATATCCTGTATGTTTCATGTATTCACAACTGTAAACCTACTTTTGCCTAACCCTGTATTTATTTAAATTTTGGCAAAATACACACAACATAAAATTTACCATTTTAATTTTATTAAAGTGTGCGGTTCAGTGGCATTAAGTACATTTACGTCGTTTTGTGATGTAAGTGCACATCTGTCATCCACCTTGGATCTCTAGAACCCTTTTCATCTTGTAAAACCAAAACTTCAGACCCATTAAATAATAATTCACCCCTCCCTCCAAACCCTGACAGCATTCTTTTTTCTGTGTCTATAAATTTGAGAATTTTAGTTTTTAAGTTGCAAAATAGGTCATGGGTGGTCATTTTGTTGTTATGCTTCATAACTTCCATATACATATATATACACACATATATATGTCACACATATGACTATATATGTATAAAATAGTATTGCCTTATTTTTAATGGCTCAGTACCTAAAAAAATAAAGAGCAATAATATGCAAAATTGGCCAGAACATGGTAAGTGCTAGCAAGCATATAAATTGATGCAATTTTTAGACATTTAAAACTCAACATGCAGTAAAATTGACAACTGTTTTATGGTTTTTGGGAGCTATTATGTTTTCAATTTTGGTTTCTGGTTATTCATTATTAGTATAGAGAAATATAATGGATTTTTATAATATATTTTATTATGTTATTACAGTTGTCCCAAATTTTTTCCCTTTGACCCCTTCCACCCAGTATCCCCACTCTCCTCAGCACCCACCCCTTAGTCCATGTCCATGGGTTGTGTCTATAAGTTCTTTGTCTTCACATTTCCCATACTATTCTTAACATCCCCCTGTATATGTTGCACCTACAAATTTATGCTTCTTAATCCCTACACCTTTCTCCCCATTCTCCCCCTTCTCCCACCTAGCTAATAACCCTCCAAGGGGTCTCCATATCTATGATTCTGTTCCTGTTCTGATTGCTTGTTTTTTGGTTTTTGGGTTTTTTTTTTAGATGCAGTTGTCGATAGTTGTGCATTTGCTGCCATTTTAATGTCCATAATTTTGATCTTCTTTTTCCTAAATAAGTCCCTTTAACATTTCATATAATAAATGCTTGGTGATGATGAACTCCTTTAGTTTTACCTTGTCTGGGAAGCTTTATCTGCCCTTCAATTCTAAATGATAGATTTGCTAGATAGGGTAACCTAGGTTGTAGGTCTTTGCTTGTCATTACTTTGAATACTTCTTGCCAGTCGCTTCTAGACTACAAATTCCTTTTGAGAAATCAGCTGACAGTCTTATGGGAACTCCTTTGAAGGTAACTCTCTGTTTTTCTCTTGCTGTTTTTAAGACTCTCTATCTTTAACCTTTGGCATTTTAATTATGATGTGTCTTGGTGTGGTCCTCTTTGGGTCCATCTTGTTTGAGACTTTCCCTGTTTCCTGGACTCACATGTCTATTTCCTTCACCAAATTAGGGAAGTTTTCCTTTATTGTTTTTTCAAATAAGTTTTCAATTTCTTGCTCGTTCTCTTCTCCTTCCAGCATCCCTATGATTTGGATGTTTGTATGTTTGGAGATGTGCCAGAGGCTTCTTAGTCTACCCACATTTTTAAAATTCTTTTTTCTTCTTGCTGTTCTGATTTAATGTTTATTTCTTCCTTATATTCCAAATTGTTGACTTGATTCTCAGTTTCTCTGCTCCACTGTTGGTTCCCTGTAGATTTTTATTTCACATAATGTAACCTTAATTTCTGGCTGGGTCTTTTTTATGCTGTTGCTATACTCAGTGAGTTCTTTGAGCATCCTGATAACCAGTGTTTTGACCTATCCATCTGATAAGTTGGTTATCTCATTTCATTTAATTCTTTTGCTGGAGTTTTGTTCTGTTCTTCAGTTAGGCCATATTTCTTTGTCTCCTCTATTTGGCAGTCTCCCTGTTTTTGTTTCTGTGTGTTAGGTACAGCTGCATTGACTCCCTGTCTTAGTAGTGCGGCCTTTTGTACAAGAGTAGACCTATGAATTGTGTGGGGCAGACCATTAGGTGATCACCAGGGCAGGGCAACCTGTTTCACTATTTTGTGGTTTTGTGTAGGAGGAGGGCTTGGAGAGGGGACAATGTTGCTGCCTGGCTTCTGGAAGATTGTCCGGAGGAAGCTGTCTCCCAGAACTTATCCTGTTTCTTGTCTCTTCACTTTCTCTCCATATACCACTTGTGCCCTTCCAGCTGTTGACCTGGTGCTGAATCCCAGAGGGAGTCCTAAGTCTGTGCGAGCCCTTTGAGAGGAATCTCCTGATCTGGCAGTTTCTCTGCCACCCCAAACCCCACTGGTTTTTACAACCAGAAGTTTTGGGGATTTATCTACCTGGCACTGGAAACCTGGGCTGCTGGGTGGTCTGGTTTGGGGTGGGATCCCTTGCTCTCAAGGTATCCCTCCTGATTTTATCCACCACACTTGAATGTGGGACCCACCCCCATTTACTGCCTCTCTGCACCACTCCCACAGCTCCATGCCTCTCAGTGCCTCTCCACCTCTCTCCACGTCTCTGCCCCCTGCCCATCTGTCTGGATGTATGTGGCTCTTTTAAATCTTTGGTTGTCGAACTTTCATACAGGTCAATTTTCTGATGGTCCTGGGTGATACTTGTTTTGTAGTCTAGTTGTAATTTTTCCTGTAGTTGTGTGAGGATGTGAAGCATGTTTACCTCCACCTCCACCTTGACTGGAAGTCTATAATCAATTTTTGTGTTTTGGCCTTGTAGCCTTGCTTAATTCACTTATTAGTTTTAGGAGGCTTTTTTGTTACTATTGATTCTTTGGGATTGTCTATGTAGTTAATGATGTCTTCCAAGAAGAGGGAATTTTCTTTCTCTCTACTCTGTATGTTTTTAAATTTTTTTCTTGCCTTATTGCAATGGCTAGGACTAGTACAATGTTAAATAGGAATGATGAGAGGAGACATCCTTGCTTTGTTTCTGATCTTAGGGAAAAAGCAGTCTTTCACCATAAAGTATGATGTTAGGATTTTTTAGATGCCCTTTATCAAATTGAAGAACTTCCCTTCTATTCCTAGTTCTGTGAGTTTTTAAAAATTAAATGGCTGTTGAATTTTGTCAAGTGCTTGTTGCCTCAATTGCTATAATCATGTGTTTCATCTATTCAGGTTGTTAAAAACTGAAACTGGTTTATTAAATTGATTGATTTTCAAATATTGAAACAGTTTTGTATTATAAGCTTAAATTCTTGTTGGTAATTATGTATTAATTTTTTTATGTATTGCTAGATTTGATTTGCTAATAATTTGTTGCAGATTTTTGCATCTGCTGTTCATGTGGAATACTTGTCTGTAGTTTTTTGTTTTTTTTTTCCTTGAACTATCATCTGATTTTGGTATTGATATGTCTTTTCAGAGGGCAATTTTTCAATTGTAACAAGTCTTTACAATGTATGTGTCCAAGGATTCCACTTCTAAGAATTTATCTTAAGGAAATAATTGGAGATTCTCATTACATACAGACTTTGTGTCCAGATAACCCTGGATTTAAATATAAATGCATCCCTTTACTAACTGCTTAGATTCTATGGCTGTTTCCTAATCTGTAAAATAAGGATAAGAGGACATATCTCAGAGTTGTGTTAGATGAGACAATTCACATACTGTAAGCTTTAAGTAAATGGTAGCTCTTGGTATTGTATTATATTGTACAGCCTCTGTATTCTGTCCAAATGGAAGGACATCGTCTTTGCTTCCATATTAACTGCCACTTTGAATCTCCTTAGATTGGTGGGTATGAGTCTCTTCAGTCCTAATCACTCTGTCTCATATTAGGTGCTAGGTGTTGGCAACACAAAGGCAAAAAAGATACAGTCCCAGTCCTCTGGAAGCTGAATCTGTTAGGGAGACTTAAGCACAAAAACTGCATTATAAAGGGGGGCGGGGCGGGCCAAGAGGCAGCAAGAGCTGGAGGCGCTTTCAGAGCGTCTGTGTCAGGAGATGGGGCGGTCACCAGAGCCAAGGGACCAGGAAAGAAGGCCACAGCTTCTCCAACGTAGCCTGGAGTAGTACTGTCAGCTGAAAAGACAGACCGCTCCCATACCTGCGGGACTTAACACTCTCTTGAGGTCTCTGGAGTCAATTCTTCAGCGTCTGAAGAAACAGCGAAGGCGAACAGATACGTAATTGTAAAGAACTGGAGCTCCACGTCTCTGATTGGCTCATGCAGCGAGGGGCGTGGCCCGCCGTCTCCCAAACTGGAGTTCTTCCCGTAGAGCGGAAGCCCATCTAGTCCGCCCCGGAAGTGCAAACCGGCTAGCATTCTTACTGGTGTGGCTGCTGTCTTCCGCGCGGCTTCTTTCAAGATGCCAGGAGCCGCGGCCAAGGTCTCGGAGTTGTCCGAGAGGATCGAGAGTTTCGTGGAGGCCCTGAAGCGGGACGGTGGGCGGCGCAGCTCCGAGGACATGGCTCGGGAGACCCTGGGGCTGCTGCGCCAGATCATCACGGACCACCGCTGGAGCCACGCAGGTAAGGCAGGCCAGCTCCATCGCGTCCCTCGCCGCTTCCGTTCCCTGTTCCCTGTTCCCTGGTGGAAAGTCGCCCAGGCCTCACCGCGCGCTTGTTCTGCTCACTCTCTCTGGCTTGGACTGCAGGGGAGCTGATGAAACTGATCCGCAGAGAGGGCCGGAGGATGACGGCCGCGCAGCCCTCAGAGACCACGGTTGGCAATATGGTGCGGAGAGTGCTCAGAATCATCCGGGAGGAGTATGGCAGGTCAGGTCCATGTCATGGGCTCTGCTCTGGATCCAGTGACGCTTCTTGCACGATCCCCTATCTCCGCTTGGCGCCTTTGTTGGAGCTGAACAGGTCTTGTTACACATCACACCACTTTCACACCTTATTCTACGACGTGTTGCCTCCACAGACTCCACGGACGCAGCGACGAGAGCGACCAGCAGGAGTCCCTGCACAAACTCTTGACATCCGGAGGCCTGAGCGAGGATTTCAGCTTCCATTATGCCCAACTCCAGTCCAACATCGTTGAGGCAATTAATGAGCTGCTTGTGGAGCTGGGTAAGAGTCCTGATCCCTAGGTGAAGAGGAAAAGTTGCAGAAAAAGGAGAGAACAACAGAAGTCCCTCGGAGTTGTTCTTCAGCAGGACTGGGAAATAACTAATACTCTGGTTCTCAGAGGCTTCCCCTCCATCCTGATTAGGAAAGGTTGGAACAGGTGGTAGGACTAAGATAACTCTCTAGATTTCCTTGCAGACCAACCCTTTGGAGACTGCACACTCACTGTGGCAGAGCCTCCATTAGAACAGGGCTTTATTTTCATTTTAACGGAGGTGAACTCACTAAAACCATGGCTAGAAGACCCTCACTTAACTTCCTCTTGAATTTTTATGCCCGCTCTCACCACTACCATCCATCTTGTTTTTGTGACCAAGGATGCCTGCAGATACTTAACTACAATCGGAGCTCCTCCGGAGAGGGAGAAGCTGGGACTGTCTGTGCACTGAGCTGCTGCTTCCAAATCCCACCCCCCATTCTTCCTCTGTGGCCCCCTCTTACGTGGAGGTGTCATGGCCATCTTTTGGAGGATCTTTTAATTTTATTTTAATTTTATTAATTTTATTTTTTAAATTATTTTATTTTATTTTTTTTTATGGGGGAGTTCTGTTTACGCCACCCTCAGCACTTTAGGGTTCCCCAGACTGGACCATTTTTTGCCTGAAATCACTATCTTCAAAATCAGTTGTAAAGGAGTGGGTGTCATGGCAGGGCATGGGTGTAAATTGTTGAGGGGGTACTGCTGGGAAAGAGGGCAGCCTGAGAACTTGAGAGATGGAAGATCTCAGAGGAGCAGCGTTCTTAAGAAAATGTGACACTTCATATTAAGTTGGTAAACCCTGCGCTACAAGGGTCAGCTGGGTGGGCAGTCTGTGATGGGCGTACATCCCATTTTGCGCTCTGTCATGTCTCTCGATACTGGGGCATGACAGTTTCCTATCTTGTAAAACTGATTGTTCTTGCAGAAGGGACAACAGAGAACATTGCAGCCCAGGCTCTGGAGCACATCCACTCTAATGAGGTGATCATGACCATTGGCTTCTCCCGAACAGTAGAGGCCTTCCTCAAAGAGGCTGCCCAGAAGAGGAAATTCCATGTCATTGTGGCAGAGTGTGCTCCTTTCTGTCAGGTAGGGAGACTGCTGGAGCTGCCAAGGAAAATGAAAAATGAGAGAGTAAAGAAGTAATAGATGGGATCCATGACAACTTTGAATTGATAAGCAAGACATTGAGGAGATAAAGTAAAACATTAAGGGAGTTTTCAACTTGTTCATCCTGTGAACATTCTTAAACATGGGTGAACTGCTGGGTCCATGAAAAGATAAACATTGGTTTTTTTTTCAGGTATCAAAATAAGGTAAATTACCTTGGGGATGACTGAGTCTTAGTTGGACCTCACTGCGTCCCTAGGTAAATAGGTAAATAATATGTAAGGAGGTAGAATGTAAGGAAGTAGAATGTTGTAAATGAGGAGCCAGGCCTCTCTTCTCAGTGATGCCTGATTATGCAGACAAGTAGTATTTCCAGTTTTGTGGCTGCTCTGGTCCTGCCGTGGAGCAGTAAGTATTTATGAGCTTCCTTTGGGCTTCCTTGCAGCTCACCAGAGAATACGTACCACAGGCAGAAAAGTGAGTTAGTTATGTGTTGAGACTTGCATGTTGCATATGCCCAGTATCACAGAATTCCCCAGGTCCAGTGACGTTTGAAAAGTCTTTCCCTTGCTCTCACACTCTCTCCCAGCATCAGCCTTTCTCTCTGTTGCAGGGTCATGAAATGGCAGTCAATTTGTCTAAAGCAGGTATTGAGACAACTGTCATGACTGACGCTGCCATTTTTGCAGTGATGTCAAGAGTCAACAAGGTGGGTATATTTGGAGCTCTGAATATCTCTGAAATACTGATTTTTATTCTCCTTTTTGAAACATCCATGAGGAGAGTTTCTAGCACCTTTTGAAAGTACATACTGGTGCCTCTTTAATCTATTAACTGAATTCTTTTCCCTTTGTCCGTATCATTGTTCCTCATTGGAAATCGCCCCTTTTTGGTTAAAGCATTGAAAGAATGAAGTCGGCCTACTCTAAGCAGGTCAGCTACCAGGGATCCCGCCCCCCTTGTGCTCAGAGAGCTCAGCGATGGTGGATGGAGAATGAGAAAGGCTCCCTGCTTCTCAGGAGGTGTGGCATATAGATTTTTAGAAGACAAGGCAAAAAGCAGCAGATGTTGCAGTTTCCTGTCCTGTACTATGTGAACTCTTTCCTTGGGAGTCCACTTTTAAGCTAGAACTTGTCCTGAGCCTAGAATCTCTTTCTCTCTACTGCTGTGTGGCTCCTCAGGATGCCAAGACTCAGGCCTGAGCATATAGGCGGTTGTGACCCATGGCCTTCTAAGGCTTTATCCCCAGGATGGCTCACATTTTTCTTCCTGTCTCAAAGGTGATCATTGGCACAAAGACCATCCTGGCCAACGGTGCCCTGAGAGCTGTGACCGGAACTCACACTCTAGCATTGGCAGCAAAACACCATTCTACCCCACTCATTGTCTGTGCCCCTATGTTCAAGCTTTCGCCACAGGTATGTCTGTCTGCCTTTAACCAACAGAGGGAAGGAAGCCAAAGTGTAGGCTTGATCTCTAGGCCTTCAACCTACTCACTCTGGGGCTTCTTTTTATCTGCATTTACTCAGTGGATTAGATCCAGGAGAGGCTGGAAAAGCCCCAAGAGTCTCGATCCAGGAAAAACAACTGATATTTTTAACCTGTCATTTATAACCTGATATTTATAAGCTTTGAGAAGTTGAAATTGCAAGGTCAAGACAATGCATAGTTGGGGGTGGCCCATTGTTTACATTGCCGCCACTCCCTCTTCACCGGACCACCTTTCCAGATGCCAAGCAAGTCACGTTTAGGAACGTAAATTTGTTTTATTTGTCATAGTTCCAGCGACTGTCCTCTGAAGCCTGAATACAAGCAGTTACTAAGTGAAGAGTCATTTCATTAGTGATAAAAACTATTTGCTTTGGAAATATCAATCTATTTATATGTCTCATTTTTTTTTAAATTGAGGTATAATTCATGTAACATACAATTAACCATTTTTAAGTATTCAGTTCAGTGGTTTTACTGCACACACAGCATTGTGCAACTACCACTCTCTAGTTTCAAAACTTTTCATCATCCAAAAAAATACTTGGTGCCCATTAAGTAATTTTCTCCCTTCTCCTCACCTCCTAGTAATCACTAATCTGCTTTCTACCTCCATGGGTTTGCCTATTTTGGGTATTTTATATAAACAGAGTACAGTGCATGCCCTTTTGCTCATGGCCTCTTTCACTTAGCATGATGTTTTCCAGGTTCATCTGAGTTGTAGCACAGTGCTCTGTTTATTTTTATGACTGAATCATATTCCTGTGTGTGGACATATCACAGTTTATCAGTTCACCTGCTGATGGGCATTTGGGCTGTTTCTGTCTTTTGGATTTTGTGAATAATGCTGCTGTAAGCATGTGTGTCCAGTTTCTGTGGGGACATGTGTTTTTTTAATTTCTCGAGTACCTAGAAATAAAATTGCTGGGTCTATTTTTAAATTTTTTTCTTTTTCAGTTCCCCAGTGAAGAAGATTCATTTCACAAGTTTGTGGCTCCTGAAGAAGTCCTGCCCTTCACAGAAGGTACAGAAGTACCTGTGTGTGCACGTGCGTGTGTTTGGTCTTTGATTTTGGTTCGGTGGCCAGTGGGATTGAGCGCTGCCCGGCTGTGCTTTTTACCATACTGGGGGACTGTCCTCTTTAGCAACTTAGAGTGCCTAGAGACCTAATCTAGTTTAGGTTCATTTTGTTCTGAAACTGATATGTTTTAGCTGAGTTATATCGGCCACAGTGGGTTGGATCACCCAGTATTGATTGGGTTCAGCTTTGCACATTGTTTGAGACACAGGCAACAACCCAGTGGGAAATGTACTTGTTTTTAGTTGCTGTTGGGAGTCATTTTGGTGATGTGGCTGCCAGAGGAAGCAGGCTCTGAAATGTTCCTACTTATAAAAGTAGGCCTGTAACTTGGATACCTTTGTGTGTTGGGGTCCTTTTCTCTGACTTCTGAAGGCAGCAGCTGTGTTGAGCAAGCCTCATCAACAGTTGACATGGTCTTAAGCACTCTTGGGGAGCAAAGCGTGGTATTTGGGTGGTTATTCTTCAGTTGAAAAACTTCATCCATTTATTTAAACATTCATTCTTTTAGAAATATTTTTATCTGTTAAGCACCCGCTATGCACCTGGCACTATTCTAGGCACTAGGGGTATAAAAGTGAACACTACAGAGAGCTTACTCCCACAGAGCTTACAGCCTGTTGCAGCAGATGGACAAGAAAATGTGAGGTCATAGGATGTTTTAGGAAAAAACAAATAAGCATGAAGAGATGGAAAGTGGCTAGGAGGCTGCCTTAGATCGGGGAAGAGCCTCAGTGAGATGACATTTCAGCTGAGCTCTGCGCGTGCAGGGCGGCACATGGAGATCAAGGCGTTGGTGCGGAGGGCCTGAGTTGGGTATGTGCTTAGCCAGCTGGGGAAGGATGGCCATATGACCAGAGGGGAATGAGCAAGAGGGAGAGTGGTACGGTTTGTAATTGGTGTAGTGTGGTGGGTAGGGGCTAGATCTCGAAGGCTGCAGTCCCAGGTTTGAATTCTAATGGCTAGGGAAAGGCACTGAGGAGTTTTAATCGGAGTATCATGATCCTCAGTCATCGGTTGTGGCCTGCATTTTGCTGCAGCTTCCCTTCCTTGGGGCAGCAAGTACGTCTACATTATCGAGCCTAGAATCTTTGTACTGCTTAAGCGTTAGAACAGGATCCTCAGTTTTATCTTTATCGCATGTGATTGCCTTTCAGGGGACATCCTGGAGAAAGTCAGCGTTCATTGCCCTGTGTTTGACTATGTCCCCCCAGAGCTCATTACCCTCTTTATCTCCAACATCGGTGGGAATGCACCTTCCTACATCTACCGTCTGATGAGTGAACTCTACCATCCTGATGATCATGTCCTTTGATACCACTCGTCCTGAGCAGAAGCTGCTTAGGCAAACCCAGAATGGAGAGGGCACTTTGGTGCCACTGCCGAAACGCATTTTCCTTGTAGTGACTGGAGTCAACCCAAAAAAGCTGGATACTGTTTCCTGCCGTTTTAGTCATCCCGCGACAAGGATGCATGTCCAGGACTGGTTTGGTGTAGGGGTGGGTTTTTTTTTGTTTTTTTTTTTTTCCTTTTGCCTTTCACATCTTAACAGAGCAGCAGGGCTTGACCTATTGATTTTGGAGCTTCTTAGTGACCTGGGGTGTCTGTTTCAGGAACTTAAACTTTCTGGTTCACTGGTGTGTTAAACATAACACTGAATAGCTTGCTGGGATACAGGTTTTTCCTCAGAAATGGCGACCACACCTTTTTGTAGGCTGTGCCAATAAAAGCTGCTCGAAGGTTCCGGAATTGGTTTATTTATTGTTCTGCCCTGATTGAACTGCCTGAAACAGCAGCAGCAGAGCCCTTTTCTTGTTTTCATAGAGGGCTGTAATTAGCAGTAACAGTCTAAAACAGAGATGTACAAATGAAAGTATTTATAAATACTTTCTAAAGTTTCTATAGTTTCCTTTAGAATTTATTGGAAATGGCCCCCAACAACTTGTTAGTAACGTAAGATGGTGGTTCCAAAACCTCTCTGATCATTAGAACCATCTGGGAGCTTAAACAAACACACAAACACTGTTGGGCTCCATCCCAGACCCACTGCATCTGATCTCCGGGGTGGCACCTGGGGATGTCTAAAGCTCCGGGGAAAAGGACCCTCTCATGTACTGTTAATAGGATTGTAAACTGGTACAGAGTTTTCTAGGGCAGCCTTGAACTTGTACTTCTAGAACTATTTGTACTAGCACACAGAAGTATAGACGAGGCTGTCCATGAGCTGTAATGTCACAGCCTAGGTGTTCGCAATAACATTTTGTATTCTGTTAGTTAAAAGCAAGAAAGGTTTTAAAATAATTGTGACATATTAAAATAATTATGACATACTGTGGAACATTATGTATCCACTGCAATAGAGGTTTCAAAAGGGTGGCTTGAGGGCAGTGTCTGGATTGAAGACACTTTGGCTGCTGGTTCACCCAGTATATAATTTGAATTAGTTATCAATATTTAAACATCTGGAGATTGCACATTAAACCATTTAGATTTCTTGATTCTTTTGTCAGAAGACTTGGCGACTCTGGGTCCACATTCCCAAGTGGCAGCAGTTGGCTAGAGTTGGGTAGCTTCTGATTCCATTAGATGGGAAACCTCCAATTTCCTGCAGTTCCTCCTGGGTCCATTTAACTTATGTTATCTGCCTAACCCTGTAGGCATTTGATATGTGAGTCTTGTGTTAATGAATGGGGTAGATTTGTAAGGAAGTCCGCTTCCTAATTGTTAGTTAAAAGCAAGCTGCCAAGCAATATGTATCATGATCCTTCATTAAAACAAAATGTGTCCTTGCAGAGGATAAGTCTGGAAATTAACACGAAACAGTGGCAAGGAGGAAGACATCTAATTTTATTTAGTACGTTTATATACTGTTTCCATATTTTGTGTGTAGTCCTTGAGTAATTACATTTTTTAAAAAGCCTCTCCAGGTAAACCAGGCGATCTGTGGGTTTGGGAAGCACTGGTCTGAAGCAGAAGGCCAAGGCAGGCTTGAGTGTGTAGGCGAACCCCCCGGAGTGCTGTCACAAAGGCTGGCCGCCTGCCTCTTGGCGTGTCGGGGTGGAGCAAGCTCCAGAAGTCTGCGTGTTTAACAAGCACGCCAAGGGACTCTAACAGGTGATCTGGTGACCGCACTTGGGTTAGCACTGGCCAGAAGTACACTGTTCTTTTGATAGCTCCTTCAGCCTTAGGGCTCCTGTCTTTCCTGAAGGAGGAAAAAAACAAGATCTGAGTCAGTCTAAGAAAGTGACCTTAAAGTCTTATGACTCAGAGAAGCCTGACTCACTCAGGCCTCAGTCTGCCAATTATTTCTCACAGCATCTAAGACCCCAGGCTTTCTCAGTGAAGCAGCTTATAGCTGCCAATTACAAGCAATTGTCTGCTCCAAAGGCACCAATTCTAACAGCAGTTCACTTGGGTATAATTGTGTGGTCTGGAGTAAGGGCAGCAGTGAGTCAAGGAACTTAAATCTGTTTCTTGCACAAAAAATTGCTTTATACTTGTTCTTTGTGCCTCTTAGTCTCTGGGTTTAAAATTAGCACCAACATCTTCCCAGGCACGATTGAGGTGGATGAAGGGTAGAGGTTCTCTTAGTCAGCTCTTGCCGTGCCTGGAACAGAACTGTGTAAGTGCATATTCTTGAGAATCTAGGACCTCAAGTAAATCCCACAAAGCTATTAATATGCCTTGCTTTTTCTATTTCCCTCTCCCCCTTTCCGGATTTGAGGAAGAGTCAGTATTGGAAAGGGAGACCCTGTCCTGAACAGGGAGAGGCTGAGATGTCCGTGTTGACTTACCACCTCTCACCAGCCTTTGTGCCTGCCTCACTGCCCACCTTTGCAGGCAGAACCCAGAGGCTCGTTAAAAAAAGAAAAGAAAAAAGCTTTTAGCTGAGATAATTAAGAGAAAGAGGATTCCAGCTAAATCCAATGTGAAAGGCTTCCTATGCCAAACAAACCCAGTTAGATAACTTACTTAATACAGTTTATAAAGACACTTTTTCCCACGGTTTATATCTTCCAATTTGGGCGGAGGGCAGGAAAGGCATAATTCTTGGAACTCAAATAAGGAACAGAAATCCTAATTTAGCTTCAGAAAAGAAGTCTCCAAAAAGTATTCTACCAAGAAAAACTTAAATGTAAAGTGATACCTCAAAGAAAAAAATGCTAGTACCCACAGGATCGTAAGTTTCACAGATGTGCTTCAAAACCATTTCTCAGAGCAATCTGTTGCATCAGTGCGGGGGTCACTGAAGGCTGGCGGTTGCAGTTCCATCGTGGAGCTCAATGGCTCTGTACTGCCCCTATGCAGAACTCGGCACATCAGAACTGCTTTGCCATAAAGACAGTACCAGATGGTGATGTGATCATTGTAAGGGCCCCGTACTGTCCACCTGTCCTCGCAAAACTCCCTCTGCAGACATGCACCTCTTTTGACACAAAGGAGCTATTTTGAAATGTGCCTTGGAAGTGTTTTATATCTGGCCTGCTTTGCTTTGAATTATTCTTTTCATTCACTGAACAGCTGTTCCAGGATATTGTGCAAGTGGCTAAGCAATTATTATTAATAAAGACCTATAGTCTAAGCTTTCAGTCTTCACAACACTCCCACAATGGAGGGCTGCCCTTGTGGGCTTCATGGTTGCTCGCTTATATTAAATACGGTGCTGAAGAGAAGGGGCCTTCAGAGGTGTTTCTTTTTTTTTTTTTCCAGGCATGTTACATATGCCTAGAATTAAGACCTGCATAGAAAAAGCTTGACCACGATCCTAAAATTCATAATTTATATGTTAAATTCTGCAACTTACTACTACAGAAGAGGTTATGAAATGCTTTGACTAATGATAAACTAATGACAGTAGCTAAGTCCAAACTACTTTTTTGTGGGGACCATCACTGAATACTACTTGCTTTTGAAGTAAACAAGAGCGCATGTTTGGCCAGGCAAGTTGTTAGGGCAGTCAGGCCAAGTCGGCTTCTGCAGACTGCTGCTGGAGTCACACGGGCTTATTGGCTCCAGGGATTCCAGTATGTGAGACCCTCAGATTCCCACTGGCTTTGATCAGGTCTCCCGAACTTTATCAAATGTTTCTGGATAAGGCTGAGTGCTCTAAGACAAATGGGCATGCATTGAAAATGACCCAAGGGTTTGAAAAAATCCTAAGCCATTGGATAACCCCTTTTTAATTTATATCCCCCCACAATTTCTGATGCAACATATTTAGAAGGAACTCAGGAGTTACTGAATGATGAAGGGAGAAATAGAAGAAAGGGATTAATTGGTACAGATTATCCAGATTTTTGGTTTCCCAGACTTTTTCTCTTCTGAGCCTACCTTTTTGCCATCTCACTGTGAATGAGCAACTTCAGCTCAGAAAGGGTGAAAATAGGTGGAGCAGATAGTGACAAACAGACCCATCGGTTCTTTTTGTAACCCTGCATTTGTAAAGAGTTTTGATGGAATGGATGGCACTTCAGGTGGGTAACAGGGAGAAAGTTCTTTGTGCCAGAAACTGCTGTTCCTCCACTCGGGTGAAGCTTCAGCTGAGCTTGGTTGTCAGCGCTCGAGGACCTAATGGGCTGCATCCATTCTCAGCATGGCTTCCTCAGCCCCTACACACCTCTAGAACTTGGCTCTCTCCTGCCCTGCCCCTGTTCTCACCACCGTGGTTTTTTTCGGTCCATTAAGCCCAGATCCCAGCTGTTCATTTGTTCTGACCCCTTTGCCTTGCTCTGACGTCTGAGTGCTAGAACCTCTCCATTGTCAACTATTCATGGAGTTCCAGATCCCCAGTTAGGGTACGGACCTTGCCCTAGCTCTCCCCCAAGTCCTTCCCCTTCCTTCTGTCCTACACTCTGAGCATCGTGCCGCTAGCTCCTATTGCCATCTATAGCCTTAATTCTGGCAGAATTATTTTCTCTTATCTCAATAATAAAGACAGCTGTAACTCAGTGATCCCTAAACCTAGAGGAAGTTACCGTATTCTATCATCAGTTTCCTTGCCCCTCTCCCTGACTACAGCTAAGCTTCTTGGAGTTCTGCGCCTTTATTTCTCAATAAAAACTTGAAGGATGTTACCAAAAAAGGGAACTCTCAAGAACAGCTTCATTGTATATCTCATCTCTCAAGTTTTACTCAAAAGTTAAAGTCTCCACCAACCAGATTCTAACAAAAATGAACCACTGGCCTTCAAACTGATAAATCGCTAATAAATATAAAATGTATAGGGCGTATGGGGGTAATAACGGGAGGGAGTGTGCAATGTGAAGCCCCACAGACCTGGGTATAAATTCTGGCTTTCCTAGGTAGATCCTGAGCCAACTAGTTAACACCCCTGAGCCTTAGTAGTCTCATTGTAACAGAGACACTAGCTTCCTAAAAGGCTATTGTAAGTATTAAAATATGTGCATGGTAACTGTTATTCTTGTTATTGGAGCTAGAAGACTTGGATGCCACTCTCCGCTTTACTTACTAGCTGTGTGATCTTAAGACATATCATTTAATATTTTTCAGCCTTAGTATCCCCCTCTGCAAAATGGGGAGAATAATACCACCTTATCTCATGGGTTACCAAGAAATTCAGGTAAGTATGTAAAAATTATTTTGTAAACCTTAAGAATTATGAAAAAGATGTTGCAGTGAGAATTTCCGCTTCTGTATTTCCTGACCAGCCTGCTCCAATGGGCCTTTGTATCAATGGAACTATTTTCCATTGATAAATTGGAAAACTGAAATGTATCTTTGCTTTTATGGCTCCTGAGTTAAAAACAAAACAGAGCAAAACCCTAACAGGCAATAATAAAAGTAATATTAGGGGTTTTTTTGGCTAATAGTTTGGTTTTATACTGATGCATGGTACCGAGTTTATAAATTATTAAAATAGGATAATTATCTCTTATACTGATCCAGGCTAGCTAGGAAAATTGGTAACATAATTTATGGCGAACTTTTTATAATCTCTTATTCTCCAGAAAACAGTAGTTTGGGATTATAGCAAAACCTTTTGAAATTATACCTCATCATCCTAATATAAGAAGTGTTATAACACTTTTTTTTAATCCCACAAATTGGCCTGACCTAAAAAGATCTTTACAGCTCCCGGCACAGCAGGCCTCCGTGTGGCTCTGCAGAGTGGAGACAGAGGGCCAGAGGCCACGGCACCCCCGGGCCTGCAGGCAGAGCCCCCGACAGCCTCGCAAATTCCCTGAAAACACTCTCCTTTCTAAGGTCCTCTCTCCCAGCTATGAAACCGTTGAGGCATGTTTAGGAGAATAAGACCATTTCTAGACAGTGGTGCCTATTCTTCAGGGTTCCAATTACATAATTCTACAAGGATCCCCTCGAACACCGGGTTCGGGCTTTCCCTGAACCACCTCTGAGGCGCACACTAATGAATGCTGCACTTCATGGTGTCCGTAAGATCCACTGCGGGGCTGCTGGCAAACACACTTTTCTTCCATGAGCACAGATTTGTTTCCTGTATTTAAAAATGAGGAAAATAATTCCATTGATACAAAAGCCAATTTGAGCAGGCTGGTCAGGAAATACAAAAGTGGAAATTCTCATTGCAACATCTTTTTCGTTGTATAACATCCCAGTTGCAATAAACATTGCCAGCTGTTTTGTTTTTTTGTTTTTTTTGTTTTTGTTTTGCTTTTTTCCCCCTTCTATAGGACTTTAGCCTATTAAGTCTTATTAACCAGAAATCAGGTCACCTAAATAAGTGGGGGAAATACAAATTAAAAGTGGCATAACAAGCATTTGCAGAAAGATCCTAAATGAAATTATGAGGCCATTAGTTACGCATACTGTAATAAAACCAAGATATAATTTGAAAGGGAGCAAAAGAAACCTTGTCTCCTGAACAAATGTAGAGAACACATCTGGTTAGTTCGAAGGATAAAGGCTGCATTTTGATATGAAAATTGCTTTCACTTAAAGAGATACTTTATATAAAGTATAAAAAAATTTTTTTAAAAACAACTCATAGTACTTTCATCATTTTACTGGTTCGGGATATGAACAACAACAACAACAAAAAACATGAAGAAAAGGACTTTAATTTTCTCTATTCTATCCCTGTCCTTGTTCTTTATCAATAGTTTTTACCCCTAAAATATTCTAACTACGGGCCTGAGGGAAGACTACAGAGAGTGTTTTTACCGGGTGTAGAGAAACTCGTTAAGCCTGAGTTCTAAATATGTAAAGGAGCAGCAGAGGAAAGGGAAGAGACTGAAGGGAAAGGAAGGGGCTGGCAGAGCACGACCCTGCGCAGTCTAGGAAGGCGGACTTGATTCCTGGGAGTTCAGCATGAGGTAAGAAATAGTAACGCAAATTATGAAGCTGGAATAAATTGCAAAATCAAACCAAAAAAATGCCACATCCCACCCTAGGAAAACCACAAACAAACCAACCAGACAATTAGACAATTAATTATTAAATTTTATCCCTAAATAAGTTACAAAAAGCAGATATTAAAGGGCAACCGCCTGTATCCATGGATACAATGGAATGAAGGGCCTTTAGGCTTGACTTCCATCTGGCTACCCAACTAGATGGATCAGCTGCTCAAGGAAGACCGACAGGGAAGATGCTGCTCGGGCGCACCGGGCCGCTTCGGTCAGGACCTGCTGGCGCCTGCTCTTTATGCGCTCTGCTCAGAGGCATATAGTCAGCGTCCCTCTGGTTCTTTATAGATCAGTAATTCTCACGGTGGCTCACATGGAGGCACGGATGCATGCAGGTTTTGCCTGGTATCACATCCTTCTGCTTTTCCAAAGAGACACCAGGCCTGGGCCATTTTGCGAAGTTTTGCAAGATTGGGTTTAACCTATGGGAAGAAAGGGAATAGCTCCAATTACCAGGATGAAAAGCCAAGTAGCACGTATGTATTTCTTAATTATGGCTATTCAAACCTGTTTAGATATCTAATTTCTGGATTCAAAAAAGATAGATTTCCTAAGATAAGAGGGACTAAAAAGTCTAGATTCCCATCTCTTCAGAAATAGGGACAAAACTTTTCATTGTCATGTGAAACAAAAAGGTTTTAATGGAGTCAAATCTGCTGGATGAGTCAGAACACATAAGCACCTGAAAACTCCATGCAGGAAGAGATTTTATAGCCCTTGGAAGGAAAAGTAAGCCAAAGAAAAGATTTTGGAAACCAGGACAGTCATATATGCTCTCATGTTGTTTCATACAAGATTGTAACAAGGAAAGGAAATGTCCTTTAATTTAAATCACTCTGCACCTTTACTGTATTAATCATTGTTCTCGGGCTGCTGAGTAATTAGGGCCAAAGCCTAATGTGGAAACAGCCTAAGCTTGGCTGCCCTGCACCTGATGGTCCCCGAATCATAACGCTGGAGGTACTTGGAGATGGTCACCGTTTCCAGCAAGGCCACCATCAAGCAACTGGCTGTTTAGGTTACATTTGCCAGCAGTGAATGTGCTGTTTGTACCAACTTTCTGTAACCCCAGAAAACTTCTGCATCTTATCAAACCTAGAGCCAGTAGGCAACAGATGTTCCAAATACGTCAGTCTGAACATGTGCTAAGCTTAAAAAATACGAAGGCATCATGTGTATAATCTGACAGTGCAGACTAAGCTCTAATTTGAATTTGAGCCGGAAGCTGAAATGGTGAGGCTTTACATACAACTTCCAATGTGTAATTTTTAAAAATCTGTTTTGCAAAGGATTAAGACAGATTACATTTGGATAACAGGATCTGAAAAAGCAGCAACTAAACTTTGCTTTTTCTTCTGTTAGTCATTATTGTACCTGTTTTTCCTGCTCCAAGTGGTCTATGTCCGCCAACGGCAGCATAGAAGGTCTCCCATGAGCACACTGGAATGGCAGCTGGCAGCGGGACAGAGCTTCGATAAGGCGGCAGCTCTCCTCCAAGCTCAGGCCATCATTAAACTTAATGGCCCCTAAATGAAAGACAGAAACAAGAAGGTTATGGTGTATATGGTGGGAAACCAATGCAGACCCTGGGCCAGAGTCAAATATCTGGGAAAAATAAAGTGTTTCTGAGGCTTCTTTCATGTGACTTTAATACTGCTTGTAATTAGCACTTAAGGCCCTGGATGAAGCCGAGGCTTCAGGACCAACCTCTCTCTCAGCTTTTCCTCCCGGAGCCCTTGTCTTTCTGATCCCCGTCGGAGGCGTTCCTTAACTTGCTAGGGTTTTGTTTTCAGAGTTTTTCTCAAAGAGAGCAGAGTAACATTTTTGCTTACTTCTCACAGGCGTATGAAATCAAGGTCATCTTTCGTCCATAGCAATCTATCACCAAGTCTCTGACTGTTTCCTACAATGTCCATTTCATTTGCTGCTTTTTTCTATTTCCATAACAATCTTCCTAATCTAAACTCTCATATTGTCAGAACTTGCCCTTATGCACACATTAACTTAGTCAACAAGTATTCCCAAGTGTACACTTTGTATTAGGAACCAGGCCCGGCAGTGAAGGAGACGAGGGTCTCCACCCTCAGGAAGCTTCTGATCTAATGGGTCTAACAGGTGAGAAAACACTAAACAAACAATAATACAGTAATTTAAATGACAAATTAAATAATATATACTATAAAATACTTTATATATTTTTATATATGTGTTTTATAGTATATATGGATAAGTACTGTAAAATGGAGGGTATGAAAGAATATGTAACAGAAAAAGCAAACCCAGTTTGGGAGGTCAGGCAATGCTTCCCTGGCAAAAGGATATTTAATCTGAGACCTTAGATTAAGAAAGACAATAAAGAATCAGGAAAGCATTTCAGAGGGAGGGAAGAGGCAAGCGTGAAAGTGCAGACACAGAAGAACGAGGCTAAGGAAGCAGGCTAGAAGTGACGGCAGGGTGGGAGGGATGAAACCGGAAAGACGGGGGCCAGAAGCCCCTTGCAGGCCATGGTGAACAGTAAAGCTTTTTTAAAATTTGATTTACTTATTAGAGAGAGAGGAAAGGAGGGAGGAGAGGGAGAGAAACACTGATGTTTCTCTCGGTTGCCTCTTGCACCCAGCTCCCAACCCAGGCATGTGCCCTGACCAGGAATTGAGCCAGCAGCCTTCTGGTTCACAGGCCAGCGCCCAGCCACTTGAGCCACACCAGCCAGGGCTGAAGAGTAAAATTTTCATCCTAAGAGCAATGAATAGTCTTTTTTTTTTTTTTAATCCTTACCCGAGCATATATTTACTGATTTTAGAGAGAGAGGAAGGGGGAGAGAGAGAAAAACACTGATGTAAGAGGGAAACATGTTGGTCAGCTGCCTCTTGTACGTGTCCTGACTGAGGATCGAACCCACCACCTAGGTATGTGCCCTGACTGGGGATTGAACCTGTAACCTTTTTGTGTATGGGACTACACTCCAAGCAACTGAGCCACCCGGCCAGGGCAGCAATGAATAGTCTTGACACATTTTAGTTAGAAGAATGACAGACGAAGAGGGATGTTTCAAAAAGATCCTTCTGGGTGCTGAGGGAAGAGGAGCTTGAAGCAGAGCCAGAATGGAGGTGGGGGACTAAGGGGACTCAAATGGCAAGGACTAGGGAGGTGGCAGTGGAAACAGATCACATCAGACAGATTTAAGATACATTCTGAAGGTGGAGATGGTGAAATTTGGTGATGAAGCACATATGAGGAGTAAGGATAAAGGGGTGAGGGGGTTTAGGGTATTTACAGGAAGCAATGAGTGACTGGTCACTAAGCAGGAAAAGACTTTAGGAAGCGAACAGAGGAGGAGGCTAATGAAGACGGGTCAAACAGAGGGAGGGTGTCGGCAGACTGGACATCTCTCTGTGGTCAAATGATAGTTACAGGGGATTCGATCGCTGTCAGGATCCCTAAGGTAAGTTCCTCTGAAACTGCTTTCTGTATTTTATCACATTACCCTCCCCTCCCCTCCGTGATTCTAATGCCTTCTGTATGAAATCTAAAGGTTTTGTTGTGACCTTCTAGGCTTCTCTATTCTTTTTACCAGCTTAACTTATTAATATGCTTTGTCATATAACTAATTTGTGCCTCTGCACAGGCTATTTCCTCCCCCTGTAGTAAACTCTCCTCCCATCCTATGAATCCACGTCCCTCTGTTCATTCAAAACTTGACTCAGAATGTGTCTCCTCTAGGATTTACTCCTCCACTCATATAATACAACAATTAATAAATAATAACACAACAATAAACTCAGTTTCGCATACTCACAACTGTAAACCTACCTTTCCCCCACCCCGTCTATGTGTTGGTGTTTTGCTTTGTAGCAGTAATTTTTCAGTGCTCATTTTGAGTGCAGTCAGCTTCTTGACCTAAATCGTGCCCTCCGGAGGCGAGGGGTGAACGTGCCCTCCACTTCCTTTCAAACTTGCTGTACGCCTGCCAGTGCTTAGCACTCAGAGGCGCTGTGGCTGCCGTGTTGAGTCTTACCGTGGCAGGCTTGCGATGCCAACACCTTCTGGACAGTCAGTGGCAGCGTCCCTTGGATGCCTCCTGTGGTCTGGAGTAGCTAGTGCGGAAACATATTCTTTATTAATGAGAGAAGGAAATGGACGACGGTGCCTTTTGTGTGCAGAACCCCAAATAAGAGAAAAGTTTACCTCCACTTGTTCTCGAAGAAATTCCTATGAAGCAAAAAGGGAAACAGGCATTAATCCATGTTATGTTATATTTGCCCTTTGATAGTTTATAAAATATCCCCACTTTCTTCTTTAAAATATGCCTCCTGAAGGAGAGTTCTAGCGATACAGCACTTAGGTGCAAATCATTTACTTGTAATACACTTTAAATATGAAATACCAAGACGACTGAATAGAACTCTTATTGAGTAAAGAATATATTTAGCTACTGAAACTTCCTCCAGAGGTAGCACATCAACTCATGGGGTTATGCAACTGGTGAGAGGAGCCTGATGATTCAACCGAATTGAAATATCAGAGAGGCATCTCACTAAGAGGCTGTTTGTATTCATAATCTCAACCAAAACAAGGGTAATATTACACAGAAACAGAATAAATATACAAGAATCATGAACACAACTGTGCACTCAGTGTAACACTTGCTTAAATGTCATAAACATAAGTAGTCACTTCAGTTCCCACAGGCATTTTTTTTTTTTTGGACAATTCCCTTCAGGTCAAAAGCTCACTTTCTGAGGCATTTTATTGAGAAGTTTCTCCTCACTAGCATATCTCTGTCCCAAGGGTGGTCTTTTTAACAGTTATATCCTGGCAGATGTTAATATTTACAAAAGGACTTTAAAGAAATTTAAAGCAGACGCTATTTCATGCTACCTACTTGCTAAATCTCTGGTGGTAACTGTTTTGAGATAATGGCACATTTAATAATTTATTTATAAGAAAACACAGGATTTCTTTACTCGTAGAAATGCCTATGTATAAATCAGCTTCCTAAGACTACAACATGGTAGATTTTTCTTTTTAAACTAGACTCAGAAAATTCTCTCCCCGTCTTCAGTACACTCTACTGTGCTTATAAATGAGCATAGTTACAAAGAGCAAGGTGGTAGGTATTATGCATTTTTAAAAAGCGCCCTATTTTCCCAAACAAACCTAAGCAGAAAGATGTCTCATTAATACCTCACCCCTTAACAAAGCTTAGCGTGGATACAGATCAAACCTAACTTCTTTGCTATTCTCTCTTACGCCTGTATATCTGGGACTTGTAAAACAATAATTTGTAAGCTTTGTGAGGGGTAGATATATCTTACTCTCTGTTCATTTCATATTTCAATGGTTCAATTTATGTCAGATAATTTAAATAATATTAAAATGACTCATTCATCAGGCTAGAGGATAGAACTTTACAGAAAGATGTATTAGTGATCTCTCAACTGCTGGACCCAAGGAGCTACCACTTTCTTCAAGACACCAAAACTATTCCAGCTTCTTCCAGAATCAACAGAATCTCTCTTGATCAGCCTGATTTAACATAATCAAGATTTTCTGAAACTATAAGCCTTGTTTCAACTTGAGGTAAACTCCTTACCAGCAGTCTTTGAAAGTCACTTTATGAAAAGTTTTTATTGTAATTTTCTGGCTAAATACTTAGGGATTGAATTACAATAAAAGATTCTAACAGACCCTATCTTTTGGATTTAAGAATTTAGAGGCACAGCCTTGGAAAAAGAGCTACGTTGAGTGATGCTGACAACAAAGCAAAGGTTGTCTGATCAAAGGGCAGTTTTGGAAAGGGTAAAGTCAAGGTAATCCAAGAGCTGTCTTTTTCTGTCTGCAGCCAAAGGTCCTGAAAGACTCGTGTACTTAGCTCCACTTCCCCTCCCTTCATTCACTCTCTGACCCATAGCAATCTGTCTGCTGCCCTGCCCAACCAGGAAATAATTCCACAATGTAACCCGTCTCCTCAGGGAAGCCAAATCCACTTGCTATTGCTGACCACTCCCTTCTTGCCTTAAACTTCCCTTGGCTTTGGCAATACTGATTTCCCCCAATTTTCCTCCTCCCTCATCGACCAAATAGATTCAATGATCCTTTACTGTTTCTACGTTCCAGCAGCAGCTTTCCAGACTTCTGCTAAAACATATATACCCTGAATGCTGCTGTTCCACGAGCTCCACCCTTTGTTCTTTTCTCTTTTTATTCATACGTTTGCTGGACAATCTCACTTCCTTTAGAATGCCAGTTTCTGATATTATCAAAATATTTATACTATTACCTCCCAAAGAAAGACGGGTAGCCCAGATCTTTCCCAAGTGCTAGGTCTATAGGTCTGCCCATCTACTGGACAGCCCCACTTGTAGGCACATTCAATGTATCTAAAGGTGGACTCAGACTCGCTCCCCAGACAGGTGTACTCCTCCTCTGCTGCCTTTTGCTGTCAAGGGCCCCACGCTCCTTCCAGTCCTTCAAGCCAGAACCCTCAGAACCATTACCTATCTGTTCTCCTTTATCCCTTTTATATTCTGTTGCTTACCAGGTCCTCTTGATTCTACCTCCCAATTTATGTTACAAACATGCCCCTCCTCTGCATTGCCACTGCTTTGCCTTGGCCCCGTCCTCATCCTCTCCTATTTGAACCAGTGCAATAACCTCTCCACTGCTCTCCGTACCTCAGGTCTTTCCCGTGTCCATCTATCTCACAATTTATCCAGTAAATTTATCTTCTAATTTTTATATATTATTAAAGTAGTTCAGATTTCTAACAAAATGGTCCACTAGGTTGATGTGGATTTGCCTGTGCTCCAAACATAAAGAGCTGGAGATGAAGGAGTAAGAAACCATAATGAATAAAATGGGACACCGTGAAGAAAGAACTGACAGATCTGAAAAAGAACCAAAATTCCAGAAACAAAAAATATAGTGATGGAAATTATAAAAAAAAAAAAAATTCAGTGGACAAGTTAAACATCTAATTAAATAGTAGTTGAAAAAAGAATTTAGTTCACTGGAAGATAAATGAAGAAATTTCCTGGAATACATCACAGAGAGATAAAACAAATGAGGAACATGAAAGAAAAGTTAAAAGACATGGAAAAGAAAAAGATAAGGTCAAGTACACATCTCACAGGATTTCTAGGAGACCAGAAATGGGAAAAGAAGCAATCAATGTTTGAAATGATAATAACTGTATATTTTCTAAATTGAAGAATTATGATGAATCTCAAGAAGGAAATGAAAATAAATCCATACAAAGATACGTCATAGGGAAACTGCAGAACATCAAAGACAAGGAGAAAATCTTAAAGGCAACCAGAGAGAAACCCAGATTACCTACAAAAAGTAATGATTAGTTTGACAATGGACTTTAATGGCAAAAATAGAATGTCAAAAGTAATAGAATACTCTTTATGAGTGTGGGGGTAAGGTTGGTTTTTATTTTTAATTATTTTATATCTTTAATATTTAATGTTGAGATTAATGGCCTCTGATGTAAATTATACTCCTGAAGGAATAAGTCATAGACATTAATTTCCTTGTCCTCAAGGTAAAAAAAAGTAATGGAATATTTTCAAAATGCTGAGGGATAACTGGCAATATGTAATATTTTTAGTTAGGCAATCATGCCAGTGTGAAGGCAAAAGAAAGATATTTTCAAAGACAGTTTACCATTAATGGACTCTTAAAAAAAGAACTTTTAGGAGATTTACTTCAATAAAAAGAAACTATACACAAAGTAGGATGCAGGAAGCAACAGTGAATAAAGACTTTGTGAAACATTTTGGTTAATCTAAATAAACATTGACTATAGCCCTGGCTGGTGTGGCTCAGTTGGTTGGAGTGTCTTTCCAGAAACCAAAAAGGCCATGGGTTCAATTCCTGGACAGGGCATGTGTCTAGGTTGCATGTTTGGTCCCTGGTAGGGGCATGTTACGTACTAGAGGCAACCAATCAATGTCTCCCTCTCTCTTTCCCTCCCCCTCTCTTCCCTCTCCTCTAAAAATAAGTATGTCTTCAGGTGAGGATTAAAAATGTATGTGTGTGTGTATATATATTTACTATAAAAGTAATGACTACCAGGGGAATTAAAAACAAGGTGGAATTAAAATAGGCAACAACATGGAAGATGTGAGAGAGGTGATGGTTGATTTTTGTTAAGTTTAGAGAGAAAACAGAGAAATAAATTACTTTTAAACTTTGTTAGATATGCAAATTCAACTTCTAAGCCAGTAGAGGAAATAAAAGAAAATGAAATGAAATGAAGAAAATGCTGCCCTAGCCAGGTGGCTCAGTTGGTTGGAGCATCATCCCATGCGCTAAAAGGGTGCAGATTTGATGCCCAGTCATGGCACATACCTAGGTTGCAGGTTCAAGCCCTGGCCGGGGCACATACAGAAGGCAACTGATGTTTCTCGCTCACATCAATGTTTCTCTCTCTCAAGTTAATAAACATATCCTCGAATGAGGATAAAAAAAGAAGAAGAAGAAAACACTAATAGAAAACAGAAAAGGATGACCCATGATTCCACTGCTGGGATTATACCCTAAGAATCCCAAAACACCAATTCAAAAGAACCTATGCACCCCAATGTTCATAGCAGCACAATTTATAATAGCCAAGTGCTGGAAGCAACACAAGTGTCCATCAATAAATGAGTGGACCAAAAAACTATGGTACATTTACACAATGGAATACTAAGCAGCAAAAGAAGGAAATAGCTACTACCCTTTGCGACAGCATGGATGGAACTGGAGAGCATTATGCCAAGCAAAATAAGCCAGGGGGTGAAAGACAAATACCGTATGATCTCACCTGTAAGTGGAACCTAATCAACAAAACAAACAAGCAAGAAAGATATAACCAGCAACATTGAAAGAAAAAACAATCCGATAGTAAGGAGAGGGAAGGAGGGAGGGAGGAACAGGGAAAAGAAAGGGGAGGGTCAAATCAAGGAACAGGTATAAAAGACCCCTGGACAAAGCCAAAGTGGGGAAGGACTGAGGGTGGGAGGTGGAGGTGGGGGGGGGGGGAGGGGAAAGCGGTGGCGGGAAAATGGAGACAAATGTATTTGAACAATAAAAAAACAAAAACAAAAACAGAGAAGGAGAAAAGAAAGGGCAACAAGGACAAAAATAAATCATGTTGTAAAAAAAAAAAAAAAAAGAAACATAAGTAAGATAAGAAGTAATGGTCCTCTTCAACACCCACAATGCCACGTCCCAGCAGCAGCTTTCCAGACCTTCACCAAAACATACACATGCAGTCATGCTGCAAATGCCTACAGGATGAATGCTAACTACTTAGCAGAATATGCTAAACCCCTTTATGATTTGGTCTTGGCAACCTATGTAGCCCCATTTGGTTCTACCACAACCCCATATATATCTTAATATGAACCATTTGGTAGTTCCCTAAACACAGGATCTGCATCAAACTTCTAGTATCTGTTAGAAAGCCCTTCTCCCCATCCTCTGCATTTGGCAGGCTCCTGCTGTTTTACAAGACATTTTCTGAAAACAAAAACAAAAGCCAGCTTTTCTGTGACAGTCTTCCTGATTGCCACCCTTCTGGGTACAGCAATCATTTTGTATTTCCATAGCACTTCTGCATATACTTATATTGTCCAAATTTCACTGTGTTATAATTACATAAATGTCCTTCTATGTCACCTTGAGCTAATTCATCTTTGACTCTCTAGTACCTGGCATACAGCAGGTATTTCATAAATGCCTACTGAATAAAAGATGACTACAGAGTTTCTAAACAAAAGGGGAGGTTACTATGGCTCAGTAATTTTAACATCTGCAGCTATTTCTTACCTCTACAATACTCTTGGTCACGGTAGGTCTTCCTCTTCGAAGTTCATTGGCTTCTCTTTCTACAAAACAGAGTGGTACTTTTCCTACAAGGACCAGAGAATCACTAGTGTCTGGAAATATAATTCCAAGGCCCAGATCTTCCAGATTTTTGTGGTAACACCTAAAGGGATAACCTCAAATGTAAAAGTATTACAACCTCAAATGTAAAAGTATTAGTTCATTCACATTTCAGTACTGGTTCCAAACGCCTGATAGTTTCTCAAAAGCTGCCGTAAGTTTTGTAAGTTACACTGCTTTTCTCACATTTATGAGTATTTGTTTAGGATTTTGTTAGTAAATTTCTTTTTTGAATCACAGTAACTTTTTTTTTTTCTCTTTTCCATTGAGAGAGTCAATTTAGTTCTAAGTCGTGTTCCTAAGTCTTTATTTTTCACTGAATAATTGCTAACTTCTCATGCTGGCTCTTGAAGGAGTTTGGCACAAATAAAAGGGCTGAGAGTGTTTTGAATCACCAGTAAAGCAGGGAGGTAATTAACAGCCCCAGGAACTGAGAAGTCCTGATTAAGGAGATGTAAATAAATGGATCTGCCTCTAATATAAATTATGCCCCATGGGAAAATACTTATTGGCAGTGGCATATTCCCAAACCTGAAATAAACTCAGAGACAATTCTCTCTTTTTTATTTCCAACAGCCAAAAGTGGGGAAATGTCCTGTCTTGTGACTCATTACATGACTTGCCCCTTGCTTGCGGCCCAGTGTTTTACTTTCTTCCCAGTATGATTATGATAATGAAAACTAAGAATCTAGAATGCACCAAGGCAAAGCATAATGGAAGCAATTACTGAGTAACTTTGCTTTCAGAAAGAGCACAGCATAAACATTGACTGTTCCAAGAAATGGTAAGAGTATTCTAAGCCAACTGCTGGAAAAAATTATCAGGGAAACTCTATCCTATACTCACCAGCTGTAATATAGTGGAAAGAATAGCATTTGGAGTCAGAAAACCTGCCTCTGAGTGCCTGCTCCACCACTTAATCATTGTTATGACCTTGAACAAGTCACATAACCTCTCTTAGTCTCAGGTGACTCATATGAAAAAAGGAACAATAGTTACGCTTATACCTCACAAAGTTGTTGTGAATATTTACACTATCAACAGCACATCCTTGTGGTGGTACTAACCGTAAGAGTCTCCTTTGCTCCTCTGTTACTGTTATTTCTAGTGGAGGACTTACAGTGGAAGCGAGTAATTTTTTCCGACCAGAGCCTGGTGGCTGTTGCTTCTCATAGGAATCTATTGGGAGAAAGACAAATGGGTTAAGAGTAGGAAGTGAAGTCTTCTAGATTCAGATAAAAATGAAGCATGGCAAGGCACAGCCATGTAATTACTATAGTGCTTAGCAGTGGTTCAATGTACAGTTTTAGGCTTTGAATTTCCATTATTAAAGTCAAACTAGTGAATATCCAGTCTGTTTATTCATGGAATACAGTATTTCCAAAAATAAGAAATAGAAGGCTTAAATCTTATATTCAAATGAATAATGCAATGTTCCTATAGATAGTCAATAAATGCGGCTTTAATTACAGAAGTGAATGATGTGGACTGCTGAGGAAATAAAGTGGGTTTACTCTAACAGTCCTGTGGCTCAAGAGGGCCTCCCCATTCCTTCAGAAGGGTTCGCCAGTCTTTGAAGACTTAAGTCATTAGTACTATTCTCAAATGGTCCAGGGATTAGAGCAAGTAAGTTTTTACTATACTTTTTCCAACAATTAGATCTTCATTTTACAAGAAAAAGTGAACATGGAGGGAACATCATTGCCATTCTAATCCATAAAATATCACCCCAGGTCCTCGCCTAACTCTTTGACATTAGGTATTTCATTACTTGACCATAGCAGTTAAGAGTTTCCTTGTATTTTACCTCTTGGGGAACATACTGCTCAATGATGAGAAAAAAGGGTTGCAAAGATTAGAAAGCACGCACCGACTTTGGAAGGATACATAACAAATTAATGATACTGGTTGCATCTGGGGAGAGAAACTAGGTGGGGTGAGAGACAAAGGTGGAAAGAGGACTTGACTATATTTCCTTTTGTACCTTTCTGACTTAAACCTACTTGATTATACTTATTCAACCACAAAATTTAAAATAAAAACAATTTATTGGGCTTTCTGAGCTGCTGGTGGTCTCTGCCTGATAAACTGTGAGGAAGGTACACCAAGATCATATGGGCAGCCCTGGCTGGTGAGGCTCAGTGGATTGAGTGCTGGCCTGTGAACCAAAAGGTCGCCAGTTCGATTCTCAGTCAGGGCACATGCCTGGGTTGTGGGCCAGGTCCCAGTTGGGGGTGTGTGAGAGGCAACTGACTGATGTATCTCTCACACGTCGGATGTTTCTCTCCCTCTCTTTTTCCCTCCTTTCTCCTCTCTGTAAAAGTAAATAAATAAAATCTTTAAAAAGAAAAGATTATATGAGCCCATGGCATATATTGGTGCCTGACATCATAATGAAGCAGCCTAATCCTTAGACACCCAATCCTTAGAGTTTATGATAAATATACAGCAAATGTATCTTTGACAATGCAAGGTCCACATGTTTGAATTAGTAAAGTGAACTACTTCATTCTTTCAGTTTTAAAAGAAGCTAAACCAGAGGACTTCAGCTTAATTTTTAAAACATACAATTCATTTTCCTCACAACAGTCACAGTTAGAAAAACTTTCAGGTATAGTCATTTGGCCGAGGCATCTCAACTCTCTTTTAGTCCCAGGTAGATCCTTACCAATAATAAGCTGCTCCAAACGGACACGCTCGTGGGCAGCATGCTGATCCACCAAGACTAGCAAATTTCCACCTAGAAGATTATCAAGGGTTACTAGAGTTTCAAATTAGTCGATCAAGATTAAAATAATCAGTCCTGGCTGGTGTGGCTCAATGGACTGAGCGTCAGCCTGCAAACTAAAGGGTCACCAGTTCAATTCCCACTCAGGCCACATGCCTGGGTTGCAGGCCAGGTCCCTAGGAAGGGGCGCGCGAGAGGCAACCACACATTGATGTTTCTCTCCCTCTCTTTCTCACTCCCTTCCCCTCTGTCTAAAAACAAAACAAATTTTTAAAAAATCAGTCGATTCTGCTAAAAAAAGATTAAAATAATCATGTGTAGAGCGAGCAAAAGGTTAATTCAAACTACTTAATGAGGTGAGCATAAGAGAAACATACTGAGTAGTAAGAACTGTATATTTTATTTCCTTAAATGAAATTATGAGGAAAAATACAACAAATTTATGTCTGATGAAAAACTCTTTAGTTCATTATTATTTCATTTATAAAACAAAATTAAAACCCTACATTTTAATCTTTAAATAATGGTTTCGCTTTATTAATTCAAATTTGGTAGAATGAAGGATCATTAAACAATACATTATTATAATCAGCTGATGTTGATTTGCAAGCTACTCTGGAACTGATGAAGAATGTAACCTACTACGCTTTAGATCAGAGTTCAGAAAATTTTTTTCTGTGAAGGACCAGAGAGTAAATATTTCAGGTTTTTGAGACACATGGTTTCTGTCACAGCTACTCAACTATTCATTTTGAACCAAAGCAGCCACAGATAACATGTGAAGATTGTAGCTATGTTCCCGTAAAACTTAGTTTCTGTATACTTTTAATATATCAAGAAATATTCTTCTTTTGCTTTTTCCCAACCACTTAAAGAATGTAAAAACCATTCTTATCTACCTGGCAGTAAAAAAACAGGTGATGCCTGGATCTAGCCCACTGGCCACAGTTGGCTTTGATTTAGACTCAGGCTTTTCAAACTTTGATGGGCACACAAATCATCTAGAGATCTTACTAAAATGCAGATTCTGACTCAGTTAAGTGAAGGGTGGAACACGAACTTCTGCGGTTCTAATGAACTCCCAGGTAATGGATGCTGTTCACAGACTGTGAGTAGCAAGGGTTCAGGTGCTCAAGTGCAAGAGAGGAGGCAGAATGTCCTGACCCGGAAAGCCAAAACTCATCTTTTTCCTGTTGACAGGAGGACTGATTCTCACTTACATGACTACATCTTTTAGCTTGTAATTTTAATATTTCTGGCCAAAGAGTTGAGGTTTATTGATACCGATCACATTGATTAAAAAAACTCTCTTGAATTTAATCAAAATAGACACTGCCTCTTTTCCTGGATTCTACTAAAAAATTGCTTCTCTGACACTATCAATTCATGGCATGCGAGCTAAGATTAAAGAAAAAAGGAAATAACTTTTCTGACAGCATGTTCAACCACAGGAACAGGCCCCAAAATGCTGAATTTTAAAGTCCTCTGAGGATAGGAGGAGTTGCAGCTGGTTGTGATGAATACTGAACATCCTGTATTGGGCAAGAAAATGGAATAAATAATAAATTGTGAGGGAGTAACCTCAAATTTGAAACTCGAGCCAATGTGAATTACTAAGAGTCAGTGACCCTAAAAGAATCACTCTTGTACCTGACTGTGGAGGAATGGCTTATAGTTTACATAGTGTTCACAACCTTTTTCATTCCCTGAATGATGCAGAATATATGAAGGTAACTACTAATGCTGGATGCTGTATTTTGAATATTCCAACACAACAGAATACAAGTCTTTTATAGGCAAGGATTTCTGTTATATTTCTAGCACGTGTAACAGCAATCAGGTACATAATAGGCACTCAATAATGATTTACAGAAAAAATGAATGAATCCTTATTCTTTAGGGTATCATAACAGAACAACTTATGTTACTGTAGGTGGAAACATTAAAAAATGCCAATATATGACAGTAATTTCACTATAATTTAAAACATTAATATATTTGCCCATTACAAAAATATGTGCAGGTAGTAAAATATGTTGTTAGTTCATTGTAGGAATAGGTTGCTTTTGATATTCATGAGCAACAGTAAAAATACATTTTGATTTAGAAAAATGCATTTATCTAAGAGCACCCTTTGTTGACAGCTAATCGATACAATGATAATATTGTATCTTAAGAGAAATTTAGAAAGGTCCCTTTTATTCCTTTGCACATCAATAGATTTTGTGGCAACACCCATCTTGGATGCCATTAGTTGAGATTTGAGTATTTTAACAAAGAATTCCAGATAATCAACACTTCAGAATAAAATCTATTCATTTTCTAGAAACAGTAATACTATAATTTGACCTTCACTAATTCACTAATGATAACTATGACAAAATTTTGGTTAACTTGCCTTTGATCTAGCATGACATTTATTAGAAAAGTCTACATTGTAAACAGGACAAAAGGGAATATTTTGAAATACAAAGGGAATGAACTGTTCAAACTTCAGAAGCACTTGCCTGCAGGTCTACCGATGTGGAGCCAGCTCGTCCACTTGTGCTCCGGGGTATCAGCCACGCAGGCCTTTTCTGGAGCCTTACAGTATCAAGCATTGTAAATGTGCTCAAGAATCTCCCAGTTTAAAGCAAAGAGCCTTCTCTCACCCTCGCCCTTTTCGGTCTCTCTCTGCCACGTCACAGATGTTTGAGTCTCTCTTTGCAGTCTCTGCCAGCCTCCCCCCACCTCTTCCCTGAGACAGTTCTCACTTCAGGTCCCTGACTTCCGCTGTCACTAAACTGAACAGATCGTTTTGATCCTCATCTTACCTAACCTCTTGGCAGCATTCATGTGAAGTCTTGGCTTTACAACACGACCTTTGTCTGTTTTCTTCCTATTTCTCTAGCTGTTCCTTCACAACTTTTTCTGCTGGTTCACCCTTTTCTGGCTAGCCATTAAATATGGGAATTATTCTAGGTTCAGAATCTCTTTTTCCTTACCCTTCACTTTTTTTAGTTAAGTAAAGTTACACTTATGACTTCAATGACCAACTTTGTGCTGACAACTCAGATTCGTACCTCCATACCAGAATGCTTTTCTAGTCCCAAACCTGTAAAATCCAACCACATTCTTGACATCTCTCCTTGAACATTTCAAACAGATTTCAGCTGAACTCAAGACTTTCACTTTCTGCCTGCTTTTTATCCAACATCACGATGTCCTATAACATCATCTACTCAGTTACAGAGGTCAGAAAACCAGGGGCCATCTTTGATATATCTTCCCTATATCCAATCCATGACCAAACCCTGTTGACTTTATCTCCTAAATATCTTTCCAAAGCATTCAGTTCTCTCTGGTCCACTTTGGTCCCAGCTATACTGCAATATGCTCCTAACAGGCTCTCTGCATTACTGGGACTGCACCCCCATACCTAAGCCATTCTCCATACTGCACCCACGGCAAGATTTTCAAAATGTAAATGCGGCGTAACACACGCCACCACAAAAATAACATTAGAAAAACAGTAAAAAACGAAAACAGAAAGCTTTCAATTGTATCCAGTTGGTGTTGGGACAAAGACAAACTTGAAATTGGCACTTGGGACCGGTCCTCATCTTCTTGATCTAACTCCAAGTGCACTTGCCCTGCTTCCCCTCACGAAAGGAGAGGAAATCACAAATTGCACGCTATTCTCTCTGCCAAGAATACTCCTCCCTCTCTTCTTTCCCTGGCTAATTCATACTCATACTTCCAACCTCTTCTTTTTACCAAGAAAACAGTCCCTGGCCTCCCTGACTAAATCAGATCTTTCAATACAGGTTCTTAAGGCCTTTTTCTCTCATCCATAACACTAGCTAGAAATATTTAACATTTGTGTAATTATCTGTTCCTCCTCCATGTATTTCTCTTCCTCACCATTGTATCCCTAGGACCTAATACAGTCCAGGGCATACGACAGGTATTAAATATTTGTTGAATGAGTTCATATTATTTACAAACTATTACTGTTTTATTAAAGCAAGTCACCAAGCAATTGCATCTAACTTTTGATAAACATAGTATACTTCATTATACAAAGTTTCTATCATTATGAAGGGAATACATAAAAACATTATTTAAAAGTCAAACAATAAAAAATATTTTAAAGTAAAGCATGAAATTTCCCCTTTGCCTACTTCCATTCTCACTCCCAAAGTAACTACTGTTTAATGGCTTAACATGTATCTTAGCTATGTATGTCTTATATATGTATGTGTATGTGTACAAAATTGAATGTGCTTTAAAACTATCACTTCAAAATATTAAGTTAGATTGGTTTCCCCTAATCTTTCCAAACCCTTGCAATGGTAGTGCATATACAAAAAAACCTTAAAGGGGGGGCTATCAGAACAGTAGCTGGTTACTCGTCAAGGCTAATCTCCACTCTTACCTGCCTCACCGTTCTCTTCAGTCTTAGTGCTCATTAAACAGGCAATAAACTTTTTATCCACTTGCTGGAGAACCTGCCATACATTGAAATAAGTGGTACAACATTAAATAAAAATTAACGTAGGCTTATCTGTACAGAAAGAGACAAAACTATTTAATTTAGAGTTGTTTGCACTATAATTTTTCATAGAGGTGCTGATGAACCTAAGGGGTCATCGGGGAGGATAAAGGGATGGGCAAGCAGAGTGGTCAGAAGACATAACAGGAACACAGACTGGGCATCTGAGAGGGATGTGCTAACAAAACTTTCGAGTAGACCTGAAATGTTCCCAACAGAATGACCTTTCTTAATGTGTAATATAACCACAGAATTATTAATATGACCAGAGATTGCTAACAAATAAAGGAGAATAAATTTTTAAAATTTACACAAAAGCAAGGAAAAGCATTTTTGAAAGAGCTAGTCCATTAAAGCAGTAAATTAAAAAGCCACCTGTGGCTTTAGGCTTTGATGGCTCCTCTCTGTCCAGGTCCTGATAAGGCTCCCCTCACACCCCCTAATCTGTATCGCTACCCCCGGGCCTATTTTGGATGGAGTGACTGGGAGTTTACCTCACTCCTAGTTTGTCTAACCTCCTAATTTGTTCCCATACTGAAAACAAGGAGACAGAGTCATCCAGAGAGTGGTGTAGAGAGAGGGAAATCTAGAAAAGCAGATGAGACAAGAGGTCCCTTTTGCTAATGGAACTCCTCAATCTAGGACATCTCCTAAACCATGTCATTTGTAGCCTCACACAACATAGGGCTGTTTAAAAAGGGACATTGTTGCACATTTGAAGACAATGTCTCTCTAGTACGCAGTTGATTTATAAATTATTGTCAAAATATAAAGTCAATTTATGAACCTTAACACTGTGAGCCTGAATCCATAATTTATCCCTCCAAACCTGCTCACCCTACTAAGGACATTTTTTTCTTTGTAATTACTTTTAGTCCTTTTCTTTTTCTTCTGATGATGAAGTTCCAGTAAGAATTTAAAAAACATCTGTGCCTTGAGCAGGGTGGTCTATATCATTAAATAAATCCAATTTCACAAGAGTTAGTCTAGCTTGGGGCTTAAATATATTTTTTATGAGCTATCAAGTCAATCTTTTACCTGCATCGAATGAATCATGTCTTTGGTGAAACGATAAGGATACAAGATGTTGTGAATTTTAACTGCTAGGCTCTCAGCCTGACCACTGCTTACATCGACAGCCACCTAGAAAGACCCAGAACAAATATCATTTAAATGTAAATTTTTTCTGTCTGCAGAACTGTTTTACCAAAGGTCTCAAAGTGCTTTAAAAACATTCGTTTTCATAGAACCAACTAGAGGTGGGCTGTATTCAGAAAATTTATAGAAATTCAAAAGGCTCTATGAACAAACTCACTGACAAAAACTGACATTATTTCAGAATAACAATTTGTCTAGGCTCCGTGATCAAGTCTTTAAAGGTATCTTAACTGAAGAATCAATAATTAAATGCTCATCTCCTCCTCGCCCTCATCACAACACAGTACACTCTGTGATAGCCCACGAAATGAGAACATACACTCAGTTCCAGGGATGAACTGTTCCTCCAGTAGAAGATTCACTACTTTATTTAATAACGGTTTTTATTATCACCACCCTAAATACTCTGCCAGAGGTTTTTAAGAGTAGTGAACACTTTCACTATTCCCACACTGATTATGTTTAATCCAAAAGTAAAGCTGGACTCCCAAAATGCTATTAATTCTGATTCCTCCTTTCTACATTAAACACTAATTTCCAAATAAATTATTTGGAAACATATCCACTTTCCATTCATAATTACAAATTAGTATAGTCAGTCATGCCCATACCCAACTTAAATGAAATTCAGTTAACAAGCGAAGAAAAATTGCTACAGACCCACCTCTGGGTAACGGGCAAATACTGGATTGTCCCATTCCGAGAACAAAGACTGAAGTGATTCTCTACCAACAGCATCATCCACAGTATCTAGTGCAAAAGGGTACAGGTAAAGTTGGCACCAAGAGCCTTGGGGAAAAAGGTGAATGGCATCTCATATTTGGTGTGGTATAGCCTAAAGACCAAAGATCAGACACACTGTCCCCATATTCTACAAAGGTTCAGAGTTTGCCGTTTGCAGTATCTCTAAATTGTTTTTATCTGATACTTTTAACTGGAGTTGATGACTGTATCTTCTGGCATTATAGCTTTTCCTCCAAACTGTTTTCAAGAGATATTTCAGAATACAAGTCCAGAAGAAACAGGTTCAAATTAGTAGCCTCACTTCCTTTAGTAAAAAATATGCCTTATCTATTTTCAGAAACAAAGAAAAAATAATAAATGTCTCTAGTTTCTTTTTTAAATATAAGAGTTTTGCTTACATAAAACTACTGCACTATGGAGCACAACTCCAATCTTTAAAAATAAGAAACAATTTCTCAATCACAAGACACCACCGACTGCATAACCCCCCAGTACTGTCTTGAAGTCTGGGAAAGTAATTTCTGATCTAAATGTATGCACAGAATCACTTAGTTCTGCTGTTAAATAGGACCATGGAGTATTCCTGGTTCCAGTAAGGCGCAGCTGGCATTGATCAAGCTTAATAATACAACCCTTCTTTGCTTTTTCTTCCTTTTTTATTTTTTTAGTTAGGTGGTACGCTATGTCCGCGGTGTTCCAGCAATCTCTGTTATTGCCCCTACCTCTGTTATTCTGTCTCATCACAGTGCTCTCTTCCCGAGCTCTAGGAAGGAAAGGAAGAACAAGGTCGCTTCTAAAAGGATGACACCTGTACTGAGATCCTAAATGTAAAAAAAGAAAAACCTAGGCATTCGAACTCAAAGTATAAACAGACTATTATAAATTAAAATCTCTTTCTGTACAAACTGAATCAAGACCTAAGGCAGACTGCTAAACTCTAGATGGAAAGTCAGAAGTTCGTTAATGAAGTTACCCTGCTAACTTAGAAATCTCCATGAATGCTTAGTCCCATTATCCATCTGTACCTGACAGAATGAGGAGTTTAATCTGTACCTGATTCTCAACAGGGGCAATTTTACATGGGGAACATACGGCACTATCTTGAGACAATTTTGGTTGTCACTACTTGGGTAAGGAGTGCTACTGGCATCTCGCAGACAGAGGCTACGAATGCTGCTAACATCTTACAACGTATCAGAGAGACTCCACAACAAAGACTTACCTAGTCCAAAACAAGAGTTCCACAGTTGAGAAACACTGTATTAAACATATATTGGTACTTAACTGTCATCCTTCACTACTGAGTACAACCTTCACAAGTCCCCGATTTATATGTCTCTTATCCCAATATATGTATTTATTACAAAATTTATCTCATCATATTATAATTATATTTAGATCTCATCACATTATAATTATATTTAGATGTCTATCTTCTATCGCTTCTCAGCCTTTTGGTTAAGATCAAGAGTAGATAGCTAGCTATCTGCTTTAATAGGCTGTAAACTCCTAAAAGCAAAGTCAGTTAATCTGCAATGTGGCAGGGCCTAGCACTGTGTGAACAATCAATAAATGAATAGATAAATGAATAATAAATTTGGAATCTAAACTCCAAAGTCCAGTAAGATCTGGCCCAAAATGTGTCCTCCTCTCTGAAGGATGATGAGATTTGTGTTTTAGAAATAATGCTGAATTTGACAGTTTTTTCAATAGGGTCAAAACATAATGAAACTATTGTTTCAAAAAGATAAATTGGTTGAACAAAAATTGGAAATTAATTTAGAATGATAAAATTAAAGTAGGAAGTAAAATAAGGTTGCAGAGTTAAAGATACTTTAAAAACTGCCAGGCCTTGGAGACTTGATACAACCCCTTAAAATGACCTTTATGTATCCTCTCTTCTGCACAATTAAATTTACCTCTTAACAATTCATCTTATGTTTGTTTGTTTGTTTTAATCCTCAGCCAAGGATATGTTTCTTGATTTTAGAGAGAGAGAGAAAGGGGAAGAAACAGAGAAGCATTGATATGACAGAGAAATATCGATTGGCTGCCTCCTGTACTTGCCCTGACTGGGGATTGAAACCACAACCCTGATATGTGCCCTGAAGGGGGATCGAACCCACAACCTTTTTGGTGCATGGAACAATGCTCCAAGCAACTGAGCCACCCAGCCGGAGGCATCTTCTGTTTTTATGTATGGTTTAAGAATGTCTTAATCTCCTGCTATACATCAGCCATTTCAAGAAAGGTAACAGTCCATTAAGGAGAGTACTTAGGAGCCATCTTTTCATGGAACTTGTTTCTGTATCCAAATACTTTATTTTTCATTATGAAACTGAGTCAACATGATCTTCAAAAGTTCATTACCAGAGTTGCTAATCCAGAAAGTTAAGTAGGTTGAAGTGTTTTTTAAACATCTAGATTTATTTAACAGAAGCAGATGTTTATGTTGAGTATGGTGGCCAACCAAGATTTTCCCCTTTGTTTAGCAACAGTCAGCTCAGTTTAATGGAATCCAGTTATTTTTTATTACCGTATCAGAAGCAGTTGCATTTCAGGAAGATGAGGTGCCAGTTCCTTAGATTTACCTCTGATAAGCATTCAGTATAAATCAGGACATAAAACTACATTGATTGAAAAACACATGTGTCTTTAAGAGCAACCTGATAGTCTCAGGAGCACATTGAAAGGAAAGGGTTTTCTCCTATTTAATTCTTTGAAATTTACTACTGTGATTATTTTTTTTACAAGGGAAAAAACTGGAACCCACTGAAAAATAAAGATCTTATTTAATCTTAAATCAGAACCCCCTTCCAGAGACATTAATCCTAAAGAGAAATTATAAATTAATTTGTGATTACATTCATGTAATTTACATTTTTTTGGCAACATTCAAGACTTTTAATATGGAGGCACACTTAATGTTTATCCTCCTGGTACAAAACCAAGAATTACAGCCAGATGGAAATCAGCTCTACCATCTCCCAACATCTGGCTCTAAACACACAGCCAAAACAATGTCACTATTAATGTTGACTTAGACCTGAGAACTCAGAGTCCTAGGCTAGGCTCTGATGTAGCCTTGTGGTATGATCTCAAAGCCACATTACTGTCTTCCTGAATAATAGCTACTTATACAATAAACAGATCAAGTGGATTAGCATATGCATTATAATAAAATACATTTGAAAAGTATAGTTATGAAGGCACATATTTAATCTATATTCCAAAAAGACTATGGTCAAGTCCTATTCTCTAAAAAAAACAAACAATAACACATACTGAGCCTTTGATTTTACTGGGAAACCTAGGATGATTACAGGATCATTCTGGCTGTTTACCTGGGAGCTGCACTGAGCGACTTCCAGAAAAATACTACACTGGCGTTGCAGGTGCCTTTAAATTTCTAGGAAAGTTGTCTGTTTGGGAGAAAGGGGAAAGTGGGCTAGGGAAGCACAGTGGATCTTCTCTACTATTAATTGTACCATTTCACTAACAACTGTCTCGCCCTGGCCAGGTGGTTCACTTGGTTGGAGCATCATCAGTACACCTAAAAGGTTGCGGGTTCCATCCCCCAGTGGGGTGCATATGGAAGGCACCAATTGATGTTTCCCTCTCACATCAATGTTTCTCTTTCTGCAATCAATGAAAAAAGATTCCTGTGTGAAGATTAATAAATAAAAACTGTCTCACACATATACATTTATGTCTCACATTTATGTACACTTCCATTCTATAACAGTGTTTCATTGTATTTCTAGCTTTAAATAGTATCGGACCTAGAGAATCTACATATATAATAAAACACATTTTATAACTAAACTTCAAAATGTTCTATCTGCTGAGATAATTTTCAAAAGCATTTCATGCCAGTAGACATTATAGACTTACCATTCTCAAGTATCACATCCACAGCCACAGTTGTTAGGTCCTTAGTACAAGCAGCCCGAACGTCCTCAGTAGGAGCAATGAATGTGCTAAGTCCAGTTATTTTGTTGATATAAACCATTCTTCCAAGGGCTACATCAAAGTGCTGCTGCCAATCCAAAGAACATGTGTTTGACTCTTCATTTTCAGAACAAGTTCTTGCTATAGATTCCTCACTCTGAAAACAAGTTCCATTTGTGTTGGCTGTGGAATTGTCTATGTGATTCATTAACACTCCACTGAGAGAGTTAGGACTTCCCACCTGCTGTTCTGAAGCTATAAGAGCATCTGAATCTTTACTATTAACTGCAGAATGATTATAGGGTAACGCCAAATTTGTTTCTGATATCACAGAGTTCTTTCTTGTACTGTTATTAGAATATGTTTCACTATCTTTATTGAAGGAATTATCCTGTGTGACAAAGTCTGACATTGGGACAACACTCTCTGTTTTTTTAGGTTCACTTTTGAATGACATATAAGAATCCAGGGATAACCCATTGTACAAGTCACTGTCTTTCCTACTGGAATCTGATTGGGGAAGTTCAATATAATGACTCATCATCTCCACTGTCTGAGTTTCTTTTTCAGAGCCTTTCATTCTGGATAATTTAGAGGCTAGTGATTCAAGTGACTTCTCAACATCCAAAGGTTTTCTATTAAAATGAGATGGATCCTTTAGTGTTACAGCGCTTTCTCCAAAGCAAGGCATCTGTTGTTGTAAACAGTCTTCTTCCTTGGAGAATACAAAGTTTTCTGAATACGGAATGTGACTTACTGGTTGACTCCTACTATTTGAATCATTATGTTTCATAGCAGTGATTTTACACATGTTAAAGTTATCTAAGTGGTTTTTGTCTCTCTGTAGAATGTCAGGTTCAACTTGAGGACTGAGATTGGTAGTGATTTCAGAATTATTGTTTTCCTCCATTTCGGCATTTAGAGGATTTTTAACCTTCCCATACTGTCTCTTGAACTTTTCTAAAGATCCTAGTTGTGAATTTAAGCTTAGTTTTTTAAGCGCTATGGGTCTGGAGGAGCCAATCAACTTATCTTTTCTCTTACTACCACTACACCAGGTATATGCAGTTTTTGGTATAGGTTTGTTCTCTGACCTATAACTTACATTTGTTCTGCACAATTTTTTGTTGGGCAGTTGAGCAAATTCTTTACTTAAAGTGCTGGTTAAATCTTTCATGTTTGGAGTCTCAACTGAATGGTGTATTCTATTTCCAAACGTTTCTTTGGCACTCATAGGACCAGGTTGAACACAATTTTTAAACGAATGTTCTGTTTCAGTTGGTTTAGTTTGCTCACTCTGTACCACATGAGTTATAAAACCAGTGGAACATAATTTAATTTGCCCATAACTAAAAACATTTATTCCTCCACAATTACTAGGTTCTTTTTTTCTTTTTTCTTCCTCCCTCTTAGCACCATGTACTCTCAGTGATGTTGTCTCAAAAGGCAGAGGTTGGCATCCGATTTCAGTAGCACCTTTAAATGTCTCTAGTTGGGTCTGAATTCTATTATTTTTCCGGATGTCCGCAGCCATGACATGAAGAGTAGTACTTACTTTCTGTATTTCGAGATCATTTCCATTCTCTTCAAAGTGACCTAACGTCTGAAAAGGGCTCGCAAACATTTCTGAACTGGTTCCACATGCATTTTCTGAAGAGTTAAGTTCCAAGCAAGATGTTTTATGTTTCTCATTTTCTCCTGACCCAGATGCTTCAGCTCTCTCTTGTTCTAAGATGCTTGATGCTGAGCAAGAGCTATCTTTGTTTTGTAAAGTTGATTCTGTCATTTTACTATGCCCTGGGCCATCCGATTCACATGTATGCAAAAATGAATCATTTGTATTTTTTCTGATAGTTTCTGAATCCCCAGAGTTCTGTGTGTTTATGTTTTCTGTAGTTTTTCTTTTTACAGCTTTTGATTGCAAATTAAACATTTCATAGGAATCCAAAATATTATTACATGCTTCTTGGAAATTTACCTGGTCACACTTCTCATCCGAGGACACATGCTCCTGAAGAGTAGCACTAAATAAACTAAAATCATTATCTTCACTAAATTCCTTAATGTCCTCACCTGATAATTCCACAAATAGTTTTTCTTTCTTTAAAAACTTCTTCATTCCTTCCTGAATGCAAACCAAAACAGTATCCCAGTTCTGAAATTCAATCAGAGTTTTTGCTGGCTCTATGCATACATCATATTCACAGAATTGGCACTGCACATTGATTACATATATCCCATAGAGTTCTGGGTTAGATCGGTGCCGAGGGTTTGAATTCATTTGCCTACTGGCAGGGCCATTTTTTGGCTTGCAAATGATGCTTTCTTTCCTTAATAAAAAGTCAATGAGTTTATGCAATTTCGTCCTTAAAATCAGTCTTTTGTTCACAAACAAAAACTGCATATTCTTATTGTAATGGGCTTCAGAGCTGATATAGCCACTAAGCTCAAAATCCTTATATTTAAAATTTATTTCTCTTAACTTTTGGGACCTACCTAGTCCATAAATTTGACAAAATCGTGAACATATGTCTTTGGTTTTAGGGAGTTGAAGAACCATAGAACCAGAAACATCATTTCTCAAAGAGAAAGAAATGGAAGGGTGCATGAGTGAAAGAGCTTCTATCCTCTGCCTAACCTTCTCAAACTCCAGTCTAGGATCCATGCATTTCCTCCTTACAGGTAACTGATAAAATAGGTTAAATACTGTTACTGTTGTCCCAGCACTTGGCCTAGTCAAATCAGCTTCACAAGCTTTCAGGGCTTTTCCATTTTGAAACAGTTTCACAAAAGTTTTCATTGTCCTGTTTTTCTTGGATGAAATTTCCACAGCACTGGCCATGTCTGCTATACTGGCCAAGGCCTCCCCTCGAAAACCATAAAACCTCGGGTTCTCCAAGTCCTGTATAGAGTTGCATTTACTAGTAAAATAACGATTTCCTACCTTGTCTATATCATTGCTCCCTATCCCAAAACCATTGTCTATCACTTGAACTTGGAAGGTTTCCATATTCACCCTCACTGCCACACATTTTGCTTCAGCATCAATGCTGTTGACGGCAAGCTCCTCCACACATTGGCCTAAGGAGCATATAGCCAAACCAGAACGCAGTTTGGCTTGTACTTCATCTGACAAGCACTTGATCATGGCAGGTAGAAATCTGGTGCGTATGCCAGGCTGTGGTTTCCTTTTCTGATTGAAATAATGGCCTATGGGAGAAAAACAAAACACACAAGCACACTATCAAAGCTTCAAAGTTACATAGCATTACCCTTTTCTCTGAAGCAGTATGAAAAAATATCATCTGACGTACATGAAATCTCTTATTAAACCATGTAAAGCAAAACAAAACAAATTATGGCTCTGACCTCTTGGCAAGTCACACAGCTCATGTTTGATACAATGGATTTAACATCCAAAGTGGCACTGATAATTTCATAATTTTCATCGATTCCTTCTAAATCCACATGCCCTAAAGTGAAGTCATAATCACATTTGAAGTTAATCCATGAAGTCAGTGTTTGAAATTCTAATCACTTCACCAGAAACAGATGACTACACTCTCCTCAAAAACATTAGCTAGAAATTATTCACACAAAAAAAAACTCGTTAGTTTCGTAACATTCATACATTACACAATAACCATGACTTTTACAACACCTTATAAAGTTTTAAGACATTGTAATATGAAGATGAAGGAATAGGAGGAAATAAAGTCAAATTATTATATCAAGAAGAGATGGGCATAAAGAGATTATTATTAATAACCATTGTTATTATGATTAAGTGTCGTTACCTTGGGGGAAAAAGACTGGGAATGGGTAAGGATAAGGCAGGAAAATTTCTTTTCATTATAAGCCTTTGTTTGATTTTTAAATCTTGTTAGTGTATTTACTTTGCTAAGTTTTCATAAAGTTATTACTAATATCCTTTTACTTTTGGTCTTTACAGTAGCTACAAACTACCTTGGCAATAACAATGATGGTAAGGGGATGTCTAACTTTGTTTTTTAAGTTTCTCCTAGGTGGGGGGAAAAAAAGAAAAGGAATAATTAAGATGATAGTGCAATTAAAGGTCCCCTCAACTGAGAGAACAGCATGGGCTACACCTCTCGCAGGTGGTAGGGCTAGTTTTTCAATCCAGGAAAATCATAGGTATAATTGGAGATCTGGCGATTTCCAAGACAAGTAATATAAAGCTTTGGGGAATGGGGCCCCGGCCGAAGGCGACCACCTCCCCCGATCAGGCTGGGCGTAGGCGCCACCCCGGCCCTTCCCCCACCTCGCAACCTTAAACCTGGCCCGCCCCGACGAGGGCACCCGCAGTGAAGGAAGGCCGCGAGATCTCCTGGGTCCAGAAAGCTGACCCGCAGCGGTCGGCACAACGCTTCTGGTGTTAGAAGGGCGCCCGGAATCCTCCTTTCGTCCCCTGCGTTCCCCCAAGTCACCTCAAATCCTGCTTTACCAACTCCAAATACCAACCGCCACGGAGGCCAGCTGCGCGCTCCTTGGCTCGCGAGGCTCGTGCACGCGCGAGCTCAGAGCATGCGCTCCTGAGATTCCCCGAGAAGTCCCTGTCGTCCGTTGACACTCCCGGGCGCACGCGCACTAATTGCGTCCCAAGGTCTTTTCACACGGGTACCTCGAATTCCCAATCCTTATCCCCTTTTGGCATGGTGTGAAAAACTGTTTCTAGCAATTTTTACTTTCGTGTTTTTTTTGTTTCCTCTTTCCTGCTCGTTTGCACGTTACCATTTAATTCAATATATTATTTTATTTGCTTATTATGTGTCTTCTCTCACTAGACTGAAAGCAATAGAAAGGTACAGATTTTGTCTGTTTTGTTTACTGCTGTTATCCCTATGGCCAAGAACAGTGCCTGGCTTATGTTAGGCACTCAATGAGTGAATACATCCAGAGGCTTCTATATTATCAAATTATATATTGTTTAAGAACTGAGAAGACTGGGAATCTACCTACCTCCACAGTCTTAATTTACAGATGAGGACACCAAGACTCCCTTCATTGCTTTTTTGGGTGTCTTCCCAATACCACCACGGCTTTTCTAACAGAATGAGTGGAACCCTAAGAACACTGAAAATAGGTGTTTTGGGAGTCATTAACCAGCTTTTGCTGTCTCATTTTAATTGAAACCTTATATTTAAAAAAATTGGAATTTGTGACAAACTTGTCAAACCCAGTAAGCATTTGATATGTACCTGCTTACCAGCTGACCAAACCCATCAAGAGATTTCTAGCGCTAATGAAGCAAATTCTGATTACTGCTTTTATTAGTTTGCCACAATAAACCACCACTGGGTGGCTTAAACTACAGATACTTATTTTGTCACAGTTCTGAAAGCTAGAAGTCTGAGATCAAGGTATAAGACATGGTTTGATTTCTTCTGCAGATTCTCTCCTGGTCTTGTAGATGGTCATCTTCTCCCTCTGTCTTTAGGTGTTCTTTCCACTGTGCATGCACTTGTTAGGGTCCAAATTTCCTCTCCTTATGAGGACACTGGGGCATACTGGATTAGGGCTCACACTACTGACTTCATTTAACCTTAATGACCTCTTTAAAGGTGCTATCGCCAAATACAGTCACATTGTGAGGTACTGGGGGTTAAGCTTTAACATATGAATGGGGGTGCATAATTTAGCCCATAACATTGCTTTTTGTGAATTCCTTACCCAGAGAAAAGGACAGCAGAAACTCAAGAAAACTAAAATTAGTCCAAAACATCACTTTAGCAGCTAACGAAATGAACTTGTGGCATTTGTTCTTATTAGGTGTGCAATTTCCTGAAGCAAATTTCATGGAAACCATTTAAAAATAGAAATGATTCAAAGTAACTAACTTTTTCTTTCAGACCCCTTTTTCATTTCTTTTTTCTTTTTTTCTTTTTTTTCAGAGAGGGGAAGGAAGAGAGAGAGGGAGAGAAACATCAACGTGAGAGAGAAGCATCAATTGGTTGCCCCTTAAACACGCAGGAAATCAAACCAGTGTCCGCTTTGCAGGATGATGCCCACCCAACTGAGACATACTGGTCAGGGCCAGGCCTCTTTCCCTCAACATTATCTTCCACAGATGTTTACTGAGTGAATACCTTTATTTTGCCCCAAATGAAGTTCACCCTACACAGATGGATCTCATGTGTTTTTATTAGAATTGTGTACAGTTGTAATCCTTCCTTCCATCATACATATCGTACGCAGTAATATTCAAGTGTTGATACTAAAATAACTTACTGAAAAATCCTAATATTGGACTCAGAATAATTCTATCTCTGTTAACAATAAAAAACAAAACAACTGAGTTTCTCCTGGAAAATTTAAATTCAGGCTATTATTTTACAATTTGGAAATCTGAGTAATCCAAATTTAAGATGACTTTCTCATTGTTGAAGTTTGCTCTGTCGATGTGCGATTTGGGACTTCCTCTTTTCTCAAGCCATTCCTGCATATGACGCACTTTGGAGATGGGACCTTGCAACTGTCCTTGCACCGTACCCTGGTCAGTGTTCTGGACCCATCCTACCAATCCCAGCTTTTTACCCTCAGCCTAGGGGAAAGAAAAAAAAAGAGAGAGAGAAATCCAGTGAGATTAAACAAAACAAAGTGAGACTACAATCTGTTGCCAGAATGTTGGCCTAGAATCAAGCCACTGAAACTAATCTGATATTGTCCAGAACAGTCAAAACAGAACAGCAAGAAGAATCTCATTGCTGATTTTAATATGAAGAGTTGGCCACTTCACTTCATTTCCTTTTACTACCCTGTAAAACCCAGGCACTAGGATTTTTTCACTTTGTAGTACTAATGACTTAAGATCAACTCAGATGCTTTCAAAATGATTCCCGAAGGCTAAATGTTGTTAGGATACTGGGCTGTATCTTGTACATTTTCCCCCTGCTTCCTAATCAAGAATCTATTGGATATATTAAGTAGAAAAAGCATGAAGTTATCTGATCCTTCTCTTTGTCTTCAGCCAGGGCCATACCTAAACAAATCCAGATGAATGAGGGTCCATTATATCTTTAAAGATCTTAAGAGTATTGCACAATTTCCTGGGCAACCCATTCCATTGTTCTCCCTGTAGAGAAACTGTCTAACCCACTGTCTTTATGTTGTATTCAAAGCCCACTTTCCGTCATTCTTCTAGGGAAGAAAAAGCAACTGGTGATCAGCCTCTGAAAAACCAAAGTTTCATGAGATCACATAACTATCAGGTTTCCACTTTCTTTTCTTCTGTCTAAATAATCATGTCTTTAAAGTTGAGTAAATTTATGAAGACCATCTAATCATTGTAGTTGCTCTTTTCTTAGCCTTTCCAGTGTTTTCTCCTTTAAGCCATTAAACTGTGGAATCACCAAACATTTGGAAAGGTATCGATGTTTTAGAGGTAATTTCATTTTTGTAAAATTTCCAAGTAAGAATATTATAAAAGTTATTGTTAAAGTAACATGATTGCATGCCCAAATGCCAGAGTAGTGACCTAGTAATTGTGGGAAATTGCTAAAGTTGGCCAAAGAAAATGTTATGCATGGCAAAGCTATGTTTGATGAGGAACTGAAGTATTCATCAAATCATATATTCAAAGCAGACACAGTGCATAGTGAACAAAACAGAATGCAGTCAAATACATAACAATTTATGGGATACAGAGGAAATTAAGGAATGAAGAAAAATAGAGGATACCTATAGTACGCATGAAGGGCAGAAGATGTCAACATAAAAAAAAAATGTGGAGAATGGATTTTGAGGAAGACTCCAAACCAACTGACTTTATATAACACCTGCACTCTTTTGCTTCAAATTAACCCAGGGGAGTTGGCTAGCCCTAATTCTTAGAGTTACCTTATATGGTAAGTAGCTATAAGAATAACTGTGTTGAGTGTTGAGTAGTGAGGTTATAACAGTCAAGTAAGTCTTTAAATTACAAGATAATTTGTCTGAACTCCTGAAAGTGAATAAAACACTTCCAACTTTGGTGTTGAGAATGGGAATTTCCTACAGGTTTTATTTATGCACTTGATTCTGCTCTTACATTTTAAATGATGGCACAATGTTGCTGACTTGTTTTCAGTTTTGAATGTCTATCTAAACAAGTAAACAGCACTTTTTGCCCTATGAAAATTCCAAAAAGCTAATTTACCCTCATAACCTTATTTTGGAAACATTGTAGGGAATATACTCACCAACTCCATTCTAAATCTAAGAAGAGAGCCTGCTCAAATCAATAACCTAGACTTCTACCTTAAGAAACTAGAAAAATAAGAGCAAACCAAGACCCAAAAAAGCAGAAAGAAAATAATACAATTAGAGTAGGAGATAATAAAATAGAGACTAGACAAAAAAGAGAAAGTCAATTAAACCAAAAGTTGGTTCTTTAAAAAGATCAACACACTTGCCCTGGCAGATGTGGCTCAGTTGGTTGGAGCACTGTCCCATAAACCAAAAGGTCACAGTCCGATTCCCAGACATGGCACAGGCCTGGGTTGCAGGTTCAGTAGCCAGCCAGGGTGCGTGTGAGAGGCAACCCATTGACACTTCTCTCTCACATTGTTGTTTCTCTTCCTCTGTCCTTCCCCTCCCCTCTAAGCATGTTCTTGGATGAGGATTAAATAAATAAATGAATGACATAAAAAGATTAACAAAATTGTCAAAACTTTATCTATACTGATAAAGAAAAAAAGGCCAAAGGCTCAAATTACTAAAATCAGAAATGAAAGAGGGGACGTTACCTGCAAGTTTACAAAAATAAAAAGAATTACTATAAACAACCATATGCCAACAAATTAGATAACAGATGAATGGGGAAGATTTCTAGAAAAACTCAAACTACAGAAACTGAATCAAGAAGAAACAAAGAATCTGAATAGCTTTACAAGAAAAGAGATTGAATTAGTCATCAAAACCTTCCCACAAAGAAAAGTCCAGGACTGGATGGCTTCACAGGTGAGTTCTACCACATGTTTAAAGAAGAATTCTTCACTAATCCTACCAAGCTCTTTGAAAAAACAGAAGAAAAGAGTCTTCCCAAATCATTCTATTAAACCAGTCTTACCCCCATATCAAAACCAGACAAAGAAAGTCATCACAAGAAAACTAAAGGTGAATATCCCTTGTGAATATTGATGCAAAACTCAACAAAATATGAGTGAACCACAATGAAAAACTGGGACTTACCCCCAGCATGCAAGGTTGGGTTAACATATAAAAATCCATATTAATA